GTTCCGCACGGGTGCGAGAGAGACAGCGCGGCGCTGCGAAGGACCGGCTGCCCGGAGTCACTCTGCTGTGCAACAATTTGGGCGGCCCGAGCGTAGCCGCGACGTAGCCCAGCGGGGCACAGTGGGCCAGAAGACCGGTGGAGGCGGGCGAAATTCTAGACGCGTTTTCGTCCAAGTCTCTAAAGTGGACTCGAACGAACGTGTGACCCACCAATGGATTCCCGTTCGGAGAGCAATCTGGTGGGGTCATACGTTCGATTCGAGTCCCATTTAGAGACTCTGGAGCTGAAAACGCGTCCAGAGTTTTGGCCGCCTGCGCCGGTCTTCTGGCCCACTGTGGGACGGCGCCTCGTCGCTCTCTCGCTCGCACTCACGGGGCGTCCCGTCGGCGTGCGAGAGAGACAGAAGCCCCCTGCGGGCCCTGCCGGCTGGCGGTGGCATTTGGGTGGCCGCCCGCCTGGAAAGGTGACCCGGGCGAGGGCGGGGAGGATGACGACGGTGACGACCAGGAAGACGCGGCGGTGACAGCGGGCACGCGTGCGCGGCCTGCCGTCTGGGTCCGAACGGCGGCGGTCTGTCTCTCTCGCACCGCCACGGGACGCCCCGTGAGTGCGAGAGAGACGGCGGCGAGCCTTTGTCCGGCCTGGCCTGGGGCCTGGCGGCCCGGCGGCCTGGCGGCGCGGCCTGCTGATAGGCCGGTCGATCCGTTGGGGAAGTACTGTAATGGCGCAGATAGCGCGGATATCGCGTCTCGCCCTTCCTCATTGAAACGCAAAAGCACTGCCGTTGTTGTTGTTGTTGTTGCCATTTGGCGCGTCGCGTTACTTGATGTTGTTGTTGTTGGTTTTTGCCACGCGTTGCGCCGGGCTCCTGGCGCTCCGACCAGGTCAATAAGGCTGGTGCATTATTTGTGTGCGGTCCCGCTGGCCGGCCGGGGGGCCCGGGGCCCGGGCCGGGTGGGGTTCCGAACGGGGCTTCGTGGCTCCGTCTCCCTCGCACCGCCGCGGGGCTACTGGGCCCCCAGTGGGTGCGAGGGAGACGGAGTGGCGCTGTTTGGGGTCCGGCCGTCTGGTGCGTGGAGTGGAGGCGCATGGCAGGCGTGGTAGGCCCTTCCCACGCCGGCCAACCCTTCAGGCCCTTCAGGCCCTTCAGCAGACTGAGAGGCGTTTTGGTCGCTCTGTCTCTCTCGCACTCACGGGCGCCCCGTTTGGGAGCGAGAGAGACGGGGGTAGGACAGCGACTCTCGGAGCCAGTCAGGCCCTACGCCCGCTTCGCCCTTCGCGAGCCTCGGCGTCCTTGCAAGGACTTGCGGTGTGGTGCGCGGGCTGGGAGTCGGAATTCCCCGGCGGCCAAGTCTTTTGCTCTCTTTCTGGCGCTAGTTTGGTCCGACCCACTTAGATTAGCGACGGTGTCGGGATAAGATAGTTGGCGCCGGGCTATGCGACGCTGCGCCGCTGTCCAGGTGCTCTCTCTGTCCCTCTCGCACTGCTGCCGGACGCCCCGCGAGCGTGAGGGAGACAGAGCGACCGGTGCACGTGGTGCACTCGACGCACAGTGGGCCAGAAGACCGGCGGAGGCGGCCGAAACTCTAGACGCGTTTTGAGCTCCGCTGTCGCTAAACAGGACTCGTACCGGACGTGTGACCCCACGAATGGATTCCTAGTTCAAAGAGCAATCCGTTGGTGGGGTCACACGTTCGGTTGGAGTCCTGTTTAGCGACTCTGCAGCTCAAAACGCGTCCGGGATTTCGACCGTCTCCACCGGCCTTCTGGCCCACTGTGCGACGGGAGACGAATCGTTTTCCTTGGAGAGCCAACTCGACTCAAAAAGTAGACTTTTATTGGATTGCCGGTGCCATTATTTGGGCCCGGCGCGCGCGAACACACTCACACACGTAACCGGAACTAGTTCGGCGCCGCCATGGCGCCGCCCATCCGCGTATTATGTCAGGAACTCGCAGTGCTAGGCGCCGCCGCGGCCGCCGCGCTGTTGCACGTGTGAGAGAGAGTGTGAGTCTGTGTGTGTGTGCGCGGGGAAGGGGATGAGAAAGTGAGACACAGACTCTGCTTGCATGGCCAAACAGGTGCACACGGCGGCGGTGCAAGGCCGGGGGAGGGGAGAGGGGATCGATTTAAGGGGGGGGGGGGGGCAGGAGGGATCTCTCTGGCCGTGTCTTAACGAAACACCGGTAACGAACTACACGACGGCGCCCGGATGGCGCGGTGGCGCCCGCCTCGCCTGGGAGCGGCCCGTGTTTTCTGGTTCACAGACGAGGGCGTGTACTCGCTCTCTCTCACACACACACACACACGGCGTACACGTTAGGCTGCGTACTGCGTGCACGTGCGCGCACACAGAAGTGCGCCGTTCGGAACTGCGCAGCCATAGGCAGCGCGTCGCAGCGCGTACTATGGGACGGGCTGACGGCGTCGTGCGATCGCGACTTTGAACGTGTGTGCATGTGTGTGTGTGTGTGGGAGGGCCCCGCCGCGCCACGCTCCGCCACGCCTAGGCTGTGCCGCTGCGCCGCGCCTCGGCGACTCGGTCAAGGCTACAAGTGTGTTGGTTGGTTGGGGACCATGGGATGGGACGACGCGTCGCCGCGGCCCACAGTGCACCACAGTGGGTCAGAAGACCGGTGGAGGCGGCCGAAACTCTAGACGCGTTTTGAGCTCCAGAGTCGCTTAACAGGACTTGAACCGAGCGTGTGACCCCACCAATAGATTGCTCTTCGACCGAGGAATCCATTGGTCGGGTCACACGTTCGGTTCGAGTCCCATTCAGCGACTCTGGAGCCCAAAACGCGTCCGGGATTTCGACCGCCTCCACCGGTCTTCTGGCCCACTGTGCGGCGGCGTCGCAGCCGATGCCTCGTGGTCTTGTTGTTGTTGTCGCGGCCGGTCGGGGAATTTGATCCGTTTCTTCAGTGAGTGGGAAAGTGGCTCGCTTGTACAGTGTGGCGGGCCTGCCGGGGCCTGCCGGGGCGTGCTGCACCACTGGCCGGGGCTCTGGCCCGTCAGTTGTCAGTTGCTTGTCAGTCGGCGGGGCGGGCGCGGGGCGGGCGCGGGGCGGGCGCGGCCCCGCGGCGGCACGTCAGCCCAGCCCGGCCCTTCGGCTCCAAGGTCACCGGGCCAGGGATTTTGATGTGGGCCACACGGGGGGAAGGAGAGGGAGAAGGCAGAAACATAAAAAGTCGGTCCGAATGGCGGGCTGGCTACCGCTGCCCCCGGGCGGAGTCGAACCCGCGGCCCTCAAGGCTGATCGCGACGGTGCGTGCGCGGTGCGGTGCCGCGGTGCCGTACCGGTGTGAGGCCAAGCGAGCCGCACGCATCCGCACGCACGCACGCGGGCCGCGGCACGCAGCGGACGCCGTAAAGAAAGGCCGCGCTTTGGACTGTGAGTCGCGTTTTCGTCGCTCTGTCTCGCTAGCACCGGCACGCGACGGCCCACGAGTCGCGAGAGACAGAGCGACGACGACTCTCGGAATGAGCCCGCGGCTGCGCGGCTTTACTTTATACTCGTTTCCCTCCTGCGCGTGACTCGCCTTGTTTCCCCCGTAAGGCTTTTTGTTTTGGTTTTGTCCCCGTGGCCTCTGCCATTTCCCTGCCCTAGCGGCGTAGCGGTGCCGCGGTGCCGGCCGCGTGCGTTGTAAAACTGGCCGCGCTGCTCCACTCCGCTCGGCGCGGCCCCGGCTCTGCCCCGCCACCGCCAGCCACGGCCCGGCTCGGCGCCGCGCTCTATCATTGATAGCTGCGGGGCACGGCCTTTGTCTCTCTCGCACTCCGACGCCGCGCCCCGTGGGTGCGACAGAGACGGCGCGAACGAGCCTCTCGGGCTGGACACTGGAAAGGGCACGGCGCGGCGGAGCGCCCAAGCGGGCATGTGTCGGGCCCGAAATGGCATACGATCATGTGTGGTCTAGCCCTTAATGGTAATGGTAGCGGGTAGGCAACGCGTGGGCTCCGGTGCGCGCGGCCGGGACGGGTTGCCTACGCGCCGGGCGTTCTCAGCCCAGCTCAGCACGGCACCCTGGCCGAGCACAGTGGGCCAGAAGACCGGTGCAGGCGGTCAAAATCCCGGACCTCGAAACGCGTCTAGAGTTTTGGCCGCCTCCACCGGCCTTCTGGGCCGCTGTGGCGGGGGTTGGGGGTTTTGTTTTCCCCGGTCGGGTGGCACCCAGGGTGCACGCCCTGCCCTCCGCACCGCGCCCCACCCCGCGGTGCCGTGGGCGTCGCGGCGTCGCGGCCCTCGCCGGGGAGGGTCTATGGCCACGGCGGCCACGGATATTAATAGCGCCGAGTCGAGGGAGATTGAGGTGCGAAATGCGAAATAGCGCCACTTGGAGCGTTGGCACATTGGCGGCATCCCGGGCGGACCGCGCGAAGCGGTACGAAGGGAAGGGAAGGGCGACGACCCGCGAGCCGCCAAAGCACCGCCGAAGCACGGCCATGGCACCGCCAGGACACCGTCAGGGCACCGTCAGGCCGCGAGGTGTGAGATCGGGAAACGATCCGACGGACGGATGGGCAAGCGGACGCCTGCGTCTGTCTGTCCGTCCGTCTGTCCGCCCGAGCGTGGTGCAAGCTGTCGTCGCAGCGAAATCGGAGGAAAGGTGCAGCCAAGCAGCCAAGGGCGCGTCCGCGCGCGCGCCGCGTCTGCAACTTGATCGTTGACTAATCAAGCGGGCTGCTGTCATGTCTTCACCGCGCGCGGCCTTTGGCCCGGCCCACTTCCGACCCGCGCCCGGTCGGCGCGGGTTCGATTCCCGGCCAGGGACGACTTTTTCTTTGTTGAAAGTGTAGAATTTTGACGTGAATTGTGGGATGGCTAGACAACGTGAATGCCAGTCGTCCGATTGGCGGCAACGTGTCTGTCTTGAATTCCGCCTCTTCCTTTGCCCGGCGGTAGTCTTTGTTCTTGTGCTTAGGTTTTGCTCGAAACTGTGAGTTTTTGTCTTCATCGAGGTCCATACTGACGGTGTGTCCTTTGCTTTTCCCCAGCTGCCCGCCGCGCACATTCCTGCCCGCGCTGTGCCGCATCTTCCTGGACGAGTGCGCCCCGGACAACGTGCTGGAGGTGACGGCCCGCGCCATCACCTACTACCTGGACGTGTCGGCGGAATGCACGCGCCGCATCGTCGCCATGGAGGGCGCCATCAAGGCCATCTGCAACCGCCTGGTGGTGGCCGAGCTGGCGTCCCGCACCAGCAAGGACCTGGCCGAGCAGTGCATCAAGGTGGGCTTCCCTCGCATTTGCATTGTTAATTTTTCACGTTTTGATAGGTTTTTTTTATTGGATTCATTTTTTGGCTGAGATTTAAAACAAAAAAATTCTGCCTATCATTCTTTTGTCACTTTCTTTCTCTTTTAATTTTGCCTGCAGGTATATTTTTTGCATCGCTTCGCAAATATTTTTTTCATCTTTTTTTCCCTGCATTTTTCTCCGCGGTCATTTTTGCGCTTCTCGGCCCATTTCCCTGTTTTTTTTTTATTTTTTTTTATTTTTGGATATTATTGTAATTTTTTGCTACTGGTACTGACTGTGTGGTTGAACCCCCAGGTGCTGGAGCTGATCTGCACCCGCGAGGCGGGCGCCGTGTTCGAGGCGGGCGGGCTGCGCTGCGTGCTGACGTTCATCCGCGAGCACGGCGGCCGCGTGCACAAGGACACGCTGCACTCGTCCATGGCCGTGGTGTCGCGGCTGTGCACCAAGATGGAGCCGCTGGACTCGACGCTGCCGTCGTGCGTCGAGTCGCTGTCCACGCTGCTCAAGCACGAGGACCAGCACGTGAGTGACGGGGCGCTGCGCTGCTTCGCCTCGCTGGCGGACCGCTTCACCAGGCGCAGCGTGGACCCCGCGCCGCTGGCCGAGCACGGCCTCGTCCACGAGCTGCTGGCCAAGCTGTCGGCCGCGGCCTGCACCACCACCACCGCCTCGGCCGGCCACGGCCACGGCCCCAGCGCCCCCGCGCCCACCGCCACGGCGGCCGCCATGCCCGAGAACAAGTCCTCGGCCTCCGTCTCCACCATCATCAGCCTGCTGTCCACGCTGTGCAGGGGCAGCCCCGGCATCACGCACGACCTGCTGCGCTCCGCGCTGCCCGACGCCATCGACAAGGCGCTCAAGGGCGACGAGAGGTGGGTGCGGGTTCGAACCCCCGTAGGGGCGCGCGAAAATTTCCAATTTTGCAACTGGCGTTTTCTCGTGTACGTTTACGGCTAGAGATAGGAAGGTTATGCATAAGGATGATCCTATCTCATTAAATTTTGGATGGGGTCGTTCGTATGAATAACTTTTCTATCTCTAGCCCTTTACGAGATACAGAATCAACGTTCCACAGTGGGCCAGAAGACCGACGTAGGTGGCTAAAACTCGAGACGAGTTTTGAGCTCCAGAGTCGCTAAATGGGACTCGAATCGAACGTGTGACCCCACCAATGAATCTCTCGTTTGGAGAGCAATCCATTGGTGGGGTCACACGTGCTGTGCGAGTCCCTTTTAGCGACTCTGGTGCTCAAAACGCGGCTAGAATTTTGGCCGCCTGGCCCACTGTTTGTTGGTTGCCAAAGTGCGCCGCCGTCGTCGTTTTCGTTGGGTTGGCTCTGCCCGGTTTGACGGTGTGGTGGCTTGCCTGCCTTGCTGGCTTGCTGCAGGTGCGCGCTGGACTGCATGCGCCTGGTGGACCTGCTGCTGGTGCTGCTGTTCGAGGGCAGGAAGGCCCTGAACCGCGTGGGGCCCTCCCAGCCCACCGCATCGGGCAGCGCCTCGGGCAGCGCCTCGGGGCAGCTGCTGCCGCGACTGCGTCGCCTGGACGGCGCCGGCGAGAAGACGCACCGGCAGCTCATTGACTGCATACGCAGCAAGGACACCGACGCGTTGGTGGACTCCATCGACTCGGGCGGAATCGAAGTCAACTTCATGGACGATGTCGGGCAGACTCTGCTCAACTGGGCATCTGCTTTCGGAACTCAGGAAATGGTCGAGTTCCTCTGTGATAGAGGTGCAGACGTGAACAAAGGTGCGTGAGATGCTCTTGTTGCGTTTTCCACGCTCTCGCCTACTGAAGGTGGTTTGTTTCATGCTTCTGTCTTCTGGTTTACAGGGCAGCGCTCGTCGTCACTTCACTATGCTGCCTGCTTTGGGAGACCAGCTATCGCCAAAGTGCTCCTGAAACACGGGGCGAATCCAGACCTGAGGGATGAGGATGGCAAGACTCCACTAGATAAAGCCCGAGAAAGAATCGATGAGGGGCACAGAGAGGTAGCCGCTATCCTGCAGTCGCCTGCTGAATGGATGATACCTACTGATAGAGAGAAGCGTACTGATTCCACAGAGTGCGAAGAAAGTGGAGAGCCTAAAGGAGATCCGGAGATGGCACCTTTATACCTTCGTAGACTTCTACCTGTTTTCTGCCATACATTTCAATCGACGATGCTTGCATCAGTCCGGTAAATTATACTACAATTACTGACAAATTTCTTCAAGAGATTTGTCTGTTTTCACCTCATCATTTACTCTCTGATTGTGTTTTCTCACTGATGTTTTCTATTGCAGGAAAGCTAGCTTAAGTTTAATCAAGAAAATGATTCATTATATTCAGACTGATCTTTTGATGGAGACCTGCAGTCTTGAATCACCAACTTACAATTTTGGAGCAACTCTTACAGAAGTGATTGCCACTGTCTTAGATAATGAGGTTTGTGCCATAATAATTCTTTTGCATGATTTTTCATTCTTTTTAGACATTATGCTTTGAGGTCAATTATCTCTAAACTAATGGTTAGTCTTACATATTGCCTAAATTTTTTCACCAGTTTACAACCACAATAATACTGAAGCACTGACTTGTGTTAGGATTTGGAAGGTGTGGAACATCCTCTTCATTATCTACTCATTGTCTCTGTACCATTTTTGAAGTCCTCATGTTTTGTTGAAGGGACCGTCATATTTTAGTTCTCAGGGAGGGTTGGGGTGCCGCTTCATCATATTCAAATTTGCTTTTGTTTTTTGTCTTGTGGTCTGTTAGTTAACCGACGATTGGTTGAATCATCAGTCACTTAGCCACAGTTTTGTCTTGCTGACTAATTGCCCTAGTCATATTTTTTCTTATCTTTAATAATTGTAAGTCATTTTACCCTTATCATTAGGAGATTCACTTGTGTACCACATTCCATTAGAAACTCTTAACAAGGCTCTGGGGTTTCAGATGTCCTATTGGTGGCCCTCTAATTCTTCATTGGGTATCAAAAGTTTCAATTGGGTTTCTAAGGTCAGTTGCTCTGGGATGCCAGGCTGTTAGTGTGGGTTTACGTGTGCTGGAAAAGACATACTGCATGCAGTTTGCACAATTTACACTTTTTTATTAGAAGATCTAACAATGTTGGTGCAAATGCAGATGATGTAAAACCAATTAATACATTTTAGTCTTAGCTTATCGTAGTTTTGTAGTTAATTGTGTGGCGTGAAGTGCTGGTCCATGTCTCTATGCTTCTTAACATTGAACAAAGCTTTAAAAAGCTATTGGGGTCATGAAATTTAAACAAACAAATAGCAGAAAGATCTGTGAAACTTGCTTCTTTCTCTTATGATTTAGATCTCTTAATATTTGTTGTCTTAGCTAAACTAACCAAACATCATTCTGAGCCAAAGCTAATATTGACACTGCTTGAATTTGTGAAATCTCTTGTAAACCTACAACACATAGATAATACTCTTGTCAATAATTTACAAGTATGATTTAGTTTGCCGTACATTATTGTAGCAACTTGTGTGTTGTTTAATAGATGTATTGTCTCACATCTGCCAGAAAATTGTTTGTCACAGTGGCTTGTGATGGTCTATGCTGTACTGTCTATTCTTCTTTTATGTTTGAGCTGGTTCCACTAATTATTCTATCCCTTTATTTGCAGGAGGACGAAGATGGGCATTTAGTGGTTCTCCAAATCATCCAAGATTTAATGGAGAAAGCTCAGGATGCTTTCCTTGATCACTTTGCACGCTTAGGAGTCTTTTCTAAAGTCCTTGCTCTTGTGGGACCAAGAGAGGGTCAGGATTCTGTAGTGTCTGCTGCCAAAGATGAGGTGAGATCCGTTGCCTAAATTTTAAGATGGACCTGGCTAAGTAGAAGATAAAATTTCTGAAGTTTACTTTGCTACAGGAGGAGTCAGAGGTTGACACATCTCAGGAAGATGCTCGGGAAATCTTAGCTGGGAAGGCGTACCACTGGCGAGACTGGTGCTTTTGCCGGGGACGGGACTGTCTCTACATTTGGTCCGATGCAGCTGCGTTGGAGCTCTCCAATGGAAGCAATGGCTGGTTCCGTTTCATATTGGATGGGAAGCTTGCCACCATGTACAGCAGTGGAAGTCCTGAGGCTGGAACTGACAGCACAGGTATGTTAAACAAATGCAACTTTTATGTAATATATAACAGATTCATCTGAGTGTAATCATGTAACAGACGAGTTGCAAGTACATGGTACACTATTTCTGACTTCTTGAGGGTTTTTTCCTGGGTTGATTTATCACCAGTGCAGTTCCATTTACAATTTGCTTTGCTGTAGTTTTTTTTTTTTTTGTTTTTGTTTCTCTGTACCTTTGTTTCTTTTGGTGGCAGTATTCCCTTTTTTCGGTGTTTTTGTTTGTCTTTTTGAAGTTAATAAGCTTAGTTTGATGAGATATCCATAGCCATGTGTTTGAGCCCTCATGAGTACACTTTCTTTTCTTGCTTTCTTCTGGTTCTTCAGATGGTGAGTGGAAATTCAGGCACTTCATAGCCTTCCCACATCACACATTAGTTATAATTGTAGAGCACCTCGCCTGGCTCTAATGTCTTGTGTCTCACCTAGGTACTTTGTCCAAGCACTCAATCATTTTCCCACTTGACCACTTAGAAGATCAGTATTCATTGCATGAAGGGTAGCTAATAAAAAATTTAGTTAGACAGAAAAAATTAAACAGATTGTTAGTGATCCTTGATAGCTGTCTACATCAAGTTGGTGTTACTCACTGGTGTTGCCTGCTATAATGTCTGTCCTCTGTGTTCATAGGGAAAGGGAAAAATACTGAAACAATGACTGCTGAAGGTAAGGTGTAAAAGTGATGGATTTTCGCTCTAAACCTTAACCTCTCCCTGACAAAAATAAGAAAGAAAAAAAAGAAGTGCAAAATTACTAACTTTCATTTTAAGCAGAAACATCCTGCTTGATCAATCCTTTGCGTTGTTTTTAACGTTTGGGTATGCTCCTGTGTGATATTAATCTATGACACTGAACTGGCATCTTGCGAACCACTCACAGTCGATGCAACTGTGAGCATGCAACACCAGCATCTGGTTGTCTTAATGTGAGACTTGCTTTTCCATTCACCTGTCTTTCTGCAGCATCTCTTCATTGTCTCTCCTGTCATGCTGCTTCATTCAACACTGCACACACATGCCTTCTTCTTCTAGCTTGTATTGTGCCCGGCTGTAGAGTAAGAAGCTTCTATCAACAACTGTGCACAACACTTGTCCTATATGTTAGTTGGTTCTCACCTGTGCTTTTTGTTTTATGATTTGTTTCTGTTCTTGTTATTCCCTAGGGAACAAGGAAACAAAGTTTGTCCAGTTGTGAATGATAATCTGCCATTTCCATAATGTGAGCTTCATTTCATTTCAGAAAATCGAGGAGAATTCTTAGAAAAGTTGCAGAGGGCACGATCTCAGGTGAAGCCCAATGCTCCTAGCCAACCCATTCTATCAAGACCAAGCACATGCCGTCTCATTGTAGGAAACTGGCAGCTTTCTGCTCGAAGGGAGGGGGAATTACATATTCACAACTCTGATGGACAGCAGGTTGGAAAAATGGATCAAATAATGGTCTTTTTCTGAAATGAAAGATGTAACATATGCTAATAAAATGTATGTCTTTTTAGCAAGCAACTATACTCCGAGAAGATTTACCTGGATTTATCTTTGAGTCAAACCGTGGTACTAAGCACTCCTTCACCGCTGAAACATCTCTTGGACCCGAATTTGCTGCTGGCTGGACCGGCAAGAAGGGTAAACGCTTGCGGTCTAAAATAGAAGCAATCAAGCAAAAGGTTTGCATCCTGTTCTAGTTCCTTAATGCATGTGTATTGAGTGGAATTGGGGATTGTGAATGGCTGTTTGTTTCAGGTCAAAGTTCAAGCACAAGACATCTACGACAAATACTTCAAGGCAGCGCAGGCGCAGCCTCGAGGTGTTGTAGCCAAATTAGGAAATATTGTTGCTCAGATCGAACGAGCGTGTCAGAAGCAACACATGAGTGGCAGAGAGAATGGCTCTGCATGGCGTGAGATGCTGGTGGCTGCATTGGACGAACTGTCTCTGCTGCTTCAGGAGGATGGTGTTGTATCGGCCTATGAACTTCATAGCTCTGGTTTAGTTCAAGCGCTGCTTGCTTTGTTGTCTACATCCTGCTGGGATGAAGGATTAAATCATAATAAGAGTGAAAAACTGCTTCGCCAACGTGAAAGAGTCTTCCGTAATTGCTTTAAGGTGAGCTGAGAACTATTTTTCCACCATTGAGTTCTACAAACTCTTTGGAAGTCTAATGTTTTATTATCCAACTTTTTCACAGGACAAGAAGGGAGAAAGTGGCAACAATTCTGCTGTGATAATGGTTCAGAAATTAATATCAGTCCTAGAGTCTATTGAACGACTTCCAGTGTATCTTTATGATACTCCTGGATCTGGATATGGTTTGCAGGTAAGGATTGTTCTTTCATTTCTGCACCAAGCCTCTTGTTGTATCTGTTTTTAACAACATGTACTTCTCTGACCCTCAGATTTTAACTAAGAGATTACGATTCCGCTTAGAGAAGGCTCCTGGTGAAAGCTGCTTGATTGACAGAACTGGCAGGAGTTTAAAGATGGAGCCTCTGAGCACTGTTGCGCAACTGGAACGTTACTTATTAAAAATGGTTGCAAAGCAGTGGTATGATCATGAGCGATCATCATTTTCCTTTGTACGCCGCCTGAAGGAGACCAGTAAAATCTCATTTCAACACGCTTATGACTTTGATGAGAATGGAGTTATCTACTGGGTTGGAACCAATGGCAAAACTTGCTCTGAGTGGGTCAACCCAGGCCAATATGGCCTCGTCACGGTCACATCATCCGACGGCAGAAATCTGCCATATGGCCGTCTCGAAGATATTTTAAGTCGCGAACCATCGGCTCTTAACTGTCACACAAATGATGACAAGAGAGCCTGGTTTTCTATTGACCTTGGCTTGTGGGTCCTTCCTAACTGCTACACTCTTCGGCATGCAAGAGGATATGGCCGTTCTGCCTTGCGGAACTGGCTGTTCCAGGTTTCCAAGGACGGCGTCACCTGGACCACTTTGCTGGCACACATTGACGACTGCTCCCTGAATGAACCTGGAAGCATGGCGTCATGGCCCTTGGAATGTCCGGCCGAGGAAACTCAAGGATGGCGGCACATAAGAATCCAGCAAACTGGCAAAAATGCGTCCGGTCAAACACACTACCTCAGCCTCTCTGGCTTTGAAATCTACGGCGTTGTCACAGGAGTGTGTGAGGATTTGGGCAAAGCTGCCAAAGAGGCAGAAGCAAACCTTCGCAAACAGCGCCGTCTTCTTAAAACTCAGGTTGTCAAACATTTGGTAGCAGGAGCCAGAGTTGTTCGTGGCCTGGACTGGAAGTGGAGGGATCAGGACGGCAATCCACCAGGGGAAGGAACAGTTACGGGAGAGCTGCACAATGGCTGGATTGATGTTACCTGGGACCAAGGTGGTTCTAACTCCTACAGGATGGGTGCTGAGGGAAAATTCGACTTAAAACTTGTCAATTCTGAGTGTAATGAACCTTTACCTTCGCCTTTACCTACAACAAGCTCTTCTTGTGGTTTGACCCAAACAACTCTCACATCCTTCGCTAGGCCTGTAACTGGCTCGTCACCAAAGAGTGCCAAGAACGCTGCAGAATCTGGAAAAGGTCTTACAACAAGTCGGAAATCCAGTTCCACCCCAAGTCTTCCAGATGCAACCGAGAATGCCAAGCCTTCTGTTGCAAGTACTGAACAGGCTGCATCAGCAGACAACCTCGCTGCCAAACAAGCAGCCGAAGCGATTGCTGAGTCTGTCCTCAACGTAGCGAGACAAGAAGCTATGGTTGCGGTTTCAACTGAAAACGAAAACAATGTTAATATGTCAGCAGCTGCAAATGAGCTGTCTGTTGTTGTTCAAACATTGCGAGAAACAGGCTTGGACATTTCAACTGCTACAGATCTTGCGACCATTGTTGAAACTTTAGCCTTGGAGGAAACTAGTCGTCAAAACTTGGAGAACAGTAATACTCTCAAAGAACTGAATAAGCAGCTCCGTCGACAGACAAGTTGTAGTAGTTGTGGTGATGATTCTTCACGTTCCCCTGCATCGCCTGCTCTTCCCTTAGACTCTTCTCAAGCAAAGACAAACCTCATGAACAAGTTGACTGTGAGGCCCAACAAGGTAATAATTCGCTGGTGTGATTTGCCTTCTATTTTTTAAATTATCTTATCTTACCATTTTTTCTTCCGTTTTCATTTCTAGCATCAAATTGCTTCATCGACAAATTCTGCTGCTGTGGTGGCTGTAGCTGCTGCAGCTGCTGCCTTGGATGACCACAGCCTCCTTTCTGCCGAAGCAGTGGAAGTGTTGGATAAAATGCGTGAAGGCAGTGACCTTCTACGCAACAACACCAACAGCTACCTGTCAGGAGAGCTGCTGCCTTCTGCTCTGCTGGGAGCTGCTCCTTCAGTGGCATCTCTTGGCCTTATGGCGTCCCCTGTAGCCCAGTCTGTGCGGATAAATGTTCCTGCTGCTGACAACGAGGCTGGAGCGGAGAAGCCTGGCCGTCACAAGCGAGGCACAGCACCTTCCACTGCTGATGGGAAGAAGGACAAAGACGAGGGTTCCAGTAAGGATAAGGACAAGGACCTGGCTTCCAGCCGTAACACTCAGAATGCCAACCCCATGAGTGTGAGTGTGCCTAACTTAACCTGTGCCGCCCATACTCAATCAGCGGAGCCTGTGAACCCAGTGGGACTTCTGGAGACGTTTGCCGCAATGGCAAGGCGGCGAGCCCCAGGCACTCTGGCTGGTGGACAGGGAGGCATGGGAGTATCTACCTCGCCCTCCTGTTCCAACCATGCACCTGGAAGCTCGCTGTTCCCACGAGGGCCCAGCTCTGTTTCGAGCTTAGTCCGGTTAGCGCTTTCCTCCAATTTCCCCGGTGAGTCTTTGCACCTTCTTGTTTTACTGCCTGTTTTCTGCCTTTAAATTATAACTCACATTGAGACTACAACAATGCTTCTGCTGACTGACATTGAATTAAACAAAATGTTTCCATGTGAAACATCACGTCCATCACCCTGTTCAACTCCTCAAGTAAAGCAAAAACTTCTCAATTGATTGCAGGTACCCTTCTCAGCACCGCCCAAAGTTATCCCAGCTTGACCGCAAGCAACCCACCAGGTGGTGCCAGTGTTGGTATTTCGACTGCAGCCGGAGCAGGACCGTGTCTTAGCCAGGCTCTCACCATGAGTCTCACTTCGACAAGTTCTGATTCCGAGCAGGTCAGTCTTGAGGTTAGTAGTTTTTTTTTTTTGTTTCTTTTCCCTCCTTTCATTTTTGGTTCTTTTGGTGTAGTTTCTGCTATCTAAAGATTCATTTATCTGAAGTTTCTGATCATTGTTAATATTGTTTTCATCAGGACTTTTTGGAGAGCTGTCGTGCTCCAACATTCCTAGCTGAGCTGGAAGATGATGATGAGATGCCTGAACCTGATGAAGATGAAAATGATGATGATGACAATGAAGATGATGATTATGAAGAGGTGTTGGTGAGTGTTTGACTTCCTTCAGTTATTTAGTCATTTTAGTTAATAAGAAGTTATTCTACTCAATTCTTGTTTCTTTATTTCTTCTGCAGGATGATGAGGCAACATATGAGAGTAGAAACGGATGTGTTGTGAGCAGTGGCAAACGACGAAGCTGGGATGACGAATTTGTTCTGAAACGGCAGTTCTCAGCTCTCATTCCTGCATTTGATCCTCGGCCCGGAAGGACAAATGTAAACCAGACTACAGACTTGGAAGTTCCTGAACCCGATGGGGAAGATATTGGAACACCTGGTGGGGAAGCTGAACAGATCCCTCAGCCCAAGCTCCAATTAGTACTGCGTGGACCCAACCTACCTGGGGTAAGCTAAAAAAAATGCTTGTTCAGTTTTGCTCTCTTTCAGTATGGGTCTTGATAGAGAACTGAGTACTTCTTGCCAGTAGTAGCTAATTTATTCTTGTATGTTAGGTTGCCGACGTTGAAGTTGAATTGCGAGATCCTACCTGGACCATCTTCCACGCAGTGCAAGAACTCATCCAGTTAGCTGATCTTGGCTCTCGACAAGAAAAGCTCAGAAGAATATGGGAACCTATCTATACGTAAGTGTTGTTCCATATGCTTTCTAAAATTATTACTATGGTTTGGAATTTTCAATTTAAGAGACATTTTATTTTGGTTACAGCATTGTCTACAGAGAGGCTAAGAAGGAGGATGGTAGTGAGAGGGATTCGAGTGAAAACACACAAGTGATCACCCTCTTTTCACGAAGCAATCTCCGGTCCACTTCGGGATCGACCCCCTCCACCCCTCTTGCTCCCCTGGGCTCCCCTTGTGGCACCATGGCCTGCAGCGTCGATGACGTCCTCCTCCTCCTTCGTCATCTCTATGTGATATGCATGAACCAGCCTTCTCAACCTCACTCACCCCTTTGCGGTAAGCGTCTCCCATCTTTCAGTAATTTTGTGAGTGGTTCCGAACAACAAATTAAAATTTTCTGTTGCTTTTCTCCACAGAAGGAGAAGGGGAAACTCAACCCACTCCCGAACTGTTCTCCTCCAAGAAGATCACCAACAAAGTGATGCAGCAGATTCAGGACCCTCTGGTCCTGTCGTCTGGAGCCCTGCCCTCGTGGTGCGAGGACCTGAACCACTCGTGCCCCTTCCTGTTCCCGTTCGAGACGCGGCAGCTCTACTTCAACTGCACCGCGTTCGGAGCTTCCAGGTACGGAGGGCTTGGCTTCGCTCTCTGTTGCACGCGTGTGGCGCGCAGTGGATTTGCCAGAAGACCGGTGGAGGCGGTCAAAACTCTGCACGCGTTTTGAGCTCCAGAGTCGGGAAATGGGACTCAAAGCGAACGTGTGACCCCACCAATGGATTCCTCGTTCGGAGAGCAATCAATTGGTGGGGTCACACGTTCGGTTCGAGTCCCATTTAGCGACTCCGGAGCTCGAAACGCGTCCGGGATTTTGACCGCGGCAAATCCACTGTGAAGGGTTGCGTGTGGGCGGCCGGCGCGAGAGAGGCCAAGACTGACGCGTGCCTTCGCATTTGCAGGTCCATCGTGTGGCTGCAGACGCAGCGCGACGTGACGCTGGAGCGGCAGCGCGCCCCGGGGCTGTCCCCGCGGCGCGACGACCCCCACGAGTTCCGCGTGGGGCGCCTCAAGCACGAGCGCGTCAAGGTGCCGCGCGGCGAGAAGCTGCTGAGCTGGGCGCTGCAGGTGATGCGGCTGCACGCGGACCGCAAGAGCATCCTGGAGGTGGAGTTCCAGGGCGAGGAGGGCACGGGGCTGGGCCCCACCCTCGAGTTCTACGCGCTGGTGGCGGCCGAGCTGCAGCGCAAGGACCTGGGCATGTGGCTGTGCGACGACGACGAGGCCGAGATGGAGCAGCCCGTGGACCTGGGCGAGGGCACCAAGCCGCCGGGCTTCTATGTGCGCCGCGCCGCCGGGCTGTTCCCCGCGCCCCTGCCGCAGGACTCGGCCGAGTGCGAGCGCGCCGTCACGTACTTCTGGTTCCTGGGCGTGTTCCTGGCCAAGGTCCTGCAGGACAACCGGCTGGTGGACCTGCCCCTGTCGACGCCCTTCCTCAAGCTCATGTGCCAAGGCGACGCGGCGGCGCGGCGCGTGCTGCGGCCGCACCACGCCGACGACCAGCCCGGCCTCCAGCCCGGCAACGCCGACGCCATGACCAGCTCGCTCATCTCCGAGGAGAGCGAGAAGGAGCTGGAGCTGGACCCGCCCAAGGCCGGCGGCGAGGGCGAGGACGCGCGGCCCTGGTTCAGCGGCATCCTGGGCAGGGAGGACCTCGCCGAGGTGGACCCCGTGCGCGGCAAGTTCATGGCGCAGCTGGGCGAGCTGGCGCAGCGCAAGGCGCGCATCCTGCAGGACAACGCGCTGTCCGTCGAGTCCCGCGCGCACCAGATGCAGAACCTGGCGCTGGCGCCGTCGCAGTCCTGCGGCACGGCGGTGCGCCTCGAGGACCTGGCCCTCACCATGACGTACCTGCCCTCGTCGCGCGTCTTCGGCTTCATGGCGGCCGAGCTCGTCGCCAGCGGCTACAACATCGAGGTGAGCTGCCGCCTGGCGCACAGTGGGCCAGAAGACCGGCGGAGGTGGCCGAAATTCTCGACGCGTTTTGAGTTCCAGAGTCGCTAGGAAGGACTCGAACCGAACGTGTGACCCCACCAAAGGATTGCTCTTCGAACGAGGAATTCGTTGGTGGGGTCACGTTCAGATTCTGTCTCATCAAACGACTGGAGCTCAAAACGCGTCTAGAATTTTGGCCGCTTCCACTGGCGCACTGTGCGGCGGCGCCTGGGCCAGGCCGGTTCTTCCGGTCTTTGAACACGCGACTAAATTGTCTGTCCACCCTCCCCTCCACCCACAGGTGTCGATCGACAACGTGGAGGAGTACTCCACCCTGACGGAGTCCTTCTGCCTGGAGAAGGGCATCGCCCGCCAGATGAACGCTTTCTCGAGGGGCTTCAACCAGGTATTCCCCATGGACAAGCTGCGGGCCTTCAGCCCCGAGGAGGTCCGCACCATGCTGTGCGGCGACCAGAACCCCCAGTGGACTCGCGAGGACCTGCTCAACTATACCGAGCCCAAGCTGGGCTACACTCGTGACAGGTGAGACGCAGCTCTGCGCTGTTGCCTCTTGCGTGCTTTACAGCTCCAGAGTCGTTAAACAGGACTCGAACCGAACGTGTGACTCCACCAATGGATTGCTTTCCGAACGAGGAATTCATTGGTGGGGGTCACGTTCTATTCGAGTCCGATTTAGCGACTCTGGAGCTCAAAACGCGTCCGGGATTTTGACCGCCTCCACTGGTCTTCTGGCCAACTGTACCTTTCTAACGACGTCCTTGCCTGTTGCTTCCCCCGCAGCCCCGGCTTCCAGCGGCTGGTGAACGTGCTGCTCAAGATGTTCCCCGAGGAGCGCAAGGCGTTCCTGCAGTTCACGACGGGCTGCTCGTCGCTGCCGCCGGGCGGCCTGGCCAACCTCTACCCCCGCCTCACGGTGGTGCGCAAGGTGGACGCCGGCGAGGGCAGCTACCCGTCCGTCAACACGTGCGTGCACTACCTCAAGCTGCCCGAGTACCCCTCGGAAGAGCTGCTGCGCGAGAGGCTGCTGGCCGCCACGCGCGAGAAGGGCTTCCACCTCAACTAGAGCGGCAGCCTGGACGGCCTGGACGGCCTGGACCCCGTGATTCCATTTCTAACAGATCTCAGAGTGTTTGGCGTTTGGCCGCACTGCCGCCTGCCGCTCTGTGCGGTGCGGCGTGCCGTTTGTAGAAATGCCATGGTGATAGCGATAGCGGCGTGTCGTGTTGTGTTTAAGGGATTGCGTTGTAGGGTAAATGATTGATGTAGTCCGGAACCGCACCGGCCGCGTTGTCGTGCGGTGATTGTCATCGTGTTTGGTGGTTTTATTTTTTGTGTCTTGTTTGTATTTTTTGAGTTCTGAGCCGCAATTTGTAAAGCAAGCCGAATCTCAACAAAGATGTTTCCCAAAGAATCAAAGTGTCAAGATATAGACTTATCTTATTGATTTTTAAACTCCTGATTTGTAGATTATGTCGATGCACAATGCTCATGTCTCGTTTCCTTTTTTTGACTTGTTTTTTTGTTGGTGGTCACATTGCATAGCAAAATACTACAACCCTTTATTTTTTTCCCTTTTCTTAAAGTAAAGGAATGCTTTGTGAGATTTTAGGCCGTGATATATAAACTGACGAAGTAATGTTAACTGTTACTGCATTCAGTATAATTATGTTTATTACCCTTTTCCTTAAGTCTTTGAAAAATACATGGTTGAAAATGTTACTAGTCTGTTTCCAATAGGCACTATCGCCAAAGATAGCACACTTTAAATGTGTGAGTGCTTTTCAGAGCAGCTTCTGCTGCACTGCCGTTGTGGAAAGATTTCATTTATGTGCCTTACTGCACATCAAACTCTGTGAATTCTGTTTAACAGATATTGTGATGTATGTGATGCTTGAATGGGAGCTACGTATAAGAAATAACTATTATTGTTGTATTGAAAATATGAAGAAGTTTACTTTGCCTAATGCGTAATGGACAAATTATGTTGTACATATTGTAATATCTAGAGTTTTATGAGCTTTTACTATTGTACTTGTTCATCAATGTTTGTGAGAAATAAATACTGCTGCTCATGGTTGTAGGGTTTTTTATCATCATGCCAATGGGACACAGGGGAACTTACATTTGTCTCGTGCATTCAATGTTTGTACTTTCTTTTTTTCTTTTTTTTTTTAGTTTTCAGTTCCATATTTGTCACTGACTAGAGTGTATGTTGGGAGATCATTACAGTAAATGCATATAAGTATAGAGAGAGAGTTACGTGTATGTGTTAAAATAAATATATAAATCTATATATATATATATATAGGAGAAGAGAAATACTTTGTAATATAATCTATCCTAAAAGAAGAAAAAAAATGTGATCACTTTAACAGCTACTAAGAAAGATCTTTATAATTATGTACTGTCAAATGCATAAGTTAAAAATACATGTAAAGAAAACAAATAATGTGTTTATTTTTCACCTCTGTAAATAATACCCCTTCCCCAGTCGTTTTTCAAGGAAAATGGAGAAACATGCCAGATTCTTAAAAGTTGGTTTATTAAATTACACAGCACATTTTTCCACAAGCTCATACAAAAATTAAAAAGTGTATACGGAGACTTCAGTCTTAAAGAGCGCGCTGTTCGCGCGGGTGGTTGGTCTGGGTCGTGTGGACCCTGGTCGACCCTCGATCTCGATCGCCGTCTAGTAGATGGGGTAGGGGTTCGCGAACACGAATTGGTTGCCCACGGCCTCGTAGGCGAGGGGGTGGAAGTAGTCCTCTGCCGGGGGTGGCAGGGGGACGAAGTTGAAGCCGTCGGTGCGGTGGCCCTCGAAGCTCACCTTGTTGATGTTCACCGAGCCCTCGATGCGGAAGTAGCTCACGGTCTCGAGGGGGTAGCGGTGGTCGAACTCAGTGAAGTGCTGGCCGTTGAAGGCAACCTGCAAGGCACGCCGGAGAGCGGTGAGTACAGTGGGCCGGAAGACCGGTGGAGGCGGCCGAAATTCTCGAAATGTTTTGAGCTCCAGAGTCGCTGAACAGGACTGGAACTGAGCGTGTGACCCCACCAATGGGTCCATCGTTCGGAGGGCAATCCATTGGTGGGGTCACACGCTCGGTTCGAGTGCCCCCTACCTTGTAGTTGTCCCGGTCCACCAGCACGAGCATCTCGAAGGCCTGGCCCAGGCGGACGGGGCACGGCCTGATCTGGGTGCCGTGCTCCCAGCCGCCGTGGCGCTTGCTGTTGAGCTCCACCAGCATCTCGCTGTGGTTGGGCCTGACGGACGCGTGGAAGGGGATGATGTTGCTCTCGGTGTCCGGGCCGTCCATCAGGTTGATGGAGAAGCGGTAGCAGTCGTGGGGGATGGTGCCGCGGATGCGGATCAGGCGGCCGGGGAAGATGGAGCCGATGTTCTGCAGCAGCGGCACCTCGGGGTTGTACACCACGTTGTCGGGCTCGTTGGGCATCCTCACGCCGGTGATGTTGTTGATGTGCACGTCACCCTCGGCGCCCACGTGCGTCACCATCTGCGGCGGCATGCGGTGGTGGAACTCGGCGAAGTGCTGCCCGTTGATGGCCACCTTGAACTTGTTGGGCCTGATGTTGATGAGCATCTGGAAGTGCTGGCCGCGATGCACGGGCAGGTGGTGCACGCGCTCCTCGTTCTCCCAGCCGCCGTCGCGGAACGTGTTGAACACCACGAGGCCCTCGGGGATGCGGTACGACACGTGCAGCGCGATGTTGTCGCCGTCGCTGGGGCCCGTCTGCAGGTTCAGCACGAAGCGGTCCGCGTCGGGCAGGATCACGCCGTAGATGGCGATGATGCGGTCCAGCTCCAGGCCCCGCTTCAGGGGGTGGATGAAGGGGACGGTCTGCGCGCCGAGGAAAACGAAACGTTAGGCAAGTTTGGGCGGGGCGGAGGAGGCGCGGCCGGATCCATGGCGTGCAATGCACAGTGGGCCGGAAGACCGGTGGAGGCGGTCGAAGTCGAAATACCGGACGTGTTTTGAGCTCCAGAGTCGCTAAATGGGACTCGAACCGAACGTGTGACCGTGACCCCACCAATGGATTCCTCGCTCGGAGAGCAATGCATTGGTGGGGTCACACGTTCGGTTTGAGTCCCATTTAGCGACTCTGGAGCTCAAAACGTGTTTTGGCCGCCTCCACCGGTCTTCTAGCCCACTGTGCAATGGGGTGGGGGTGGGGGGGAATCACCCCTGTATGTGGGCAAAAAGCACTACGTTACCCCCTTCGTACAAAAGCCCTGGATCCGCGCCTACCGGGTGTCGAACCCGCAATTCAACTTACGAAGAAGGAGCTGGGAAGGTACTGGATCATCTTGGCGACGGGTTTGTCAACGTCGGACGTCTGTAAGCAAAGAAAATGCCTCTGGTCAGACTCGGGGCGGGCCGGACGGGAGAGTTAGCGACCCTCGAGGTGACCGTTGGCCGATGGCCGTTCGACGGAGAGAGAGAGAGAGAGGGTTGTGTGTGTGTGTGTGTGTGTGTGTGTGTGTGTGTGTGTGTGTGTCACCGAGCCCTCTCGAAAGTCGGCGCAAGGTGACAGACGGGCCGTGTCTCTGTGACAGGTGCTGGCAGGTGTGCCGTGCCTATCTGGGCCCGGTCGGCCCGGCGATAGGGCTGATGGGCGTGGCTGTACTGATAACTCTTCACCGGCGAACCGCGTGAACCGGTTAACGACGGTTGCCATCCTGATCGATCCTGGTTCGCTCGGTCAAACGGTCGGACGGCTCCATTGATTGATTTTCCCTCTCGGAAAAGAACGCACAGTCGCGGGTATTCGAACCTGGGACTGCTGTGACATGCCATGTCATTAGCACTGTGCGGAGAAAGTCACAGCGAATCGAGTGCCGTTCCCTCGTGACCGCGGTTTCAAATACTGGGTTCTACGGCACTGAAGGGAACGCCCAACCTGGAGGGATCTCCAAGCCAAGAGGCGGAAGAATTCCCGCCACTTCTAGAAAGCGATGCTTACTGTGGGTAGGCAGGCTGTGGTTGGCAATCTTAACGACACTGTTGCATCATGGGAACTTTTTGGCAACACTGCACACTGATTATGCGGGGGTTGATATCCCCACCTCAAAAAACGGATCGGAAGTCGATGGAAGCACTCCGAAGCCGATTTTCGACTGAGGAAAGTTTTGGCTTTCGAGTGCAGAGCGGATGAACGGAACCCGCGGTAAAGTCCGGAGATCGGACTCGGAGTGCTTCAGTCTGGTTGCGACCCGTTTGTCGGTGTCGAAAAGCGAACCCCGTTCAAAGTGAGAGGACAGCACTCACCGGAACTTGGAAAAGGTGCGCTGCGGGCTGCTCGGGACGACGGCTGCGGTCCAAGTGGTGCCAACCCAGTAACGCCTGCCTAGATAAGGCCCTTCCCTTATATCGGCCTGTGTGCTCGCTGTGTGTGTGTGTGCGTTGAGCGTGTCTGTGTGCGGTGACGTGGCCAGGGGCGTTGCTGCATGTTGCCGGCGGCTCCATCGGCGTCCTCTTGGAAACGGACCAGACGGAAGCAGATGATGCACACTGCGAGGCGGAGAGAGTGAACGTGGCTGGATCCGCTGCACTTTCGATTGGCTTCACTCAGCTTTCGCCGCTCTGTCTCTCAGTGGTCCGAGTAGAAACCCGAGGCAAACGGTATGCACTTCTGCAAGACCGTGGACCCTCACGCCCTTGGAGGCCAGAGGGGGTGGGGGTTTAGGGTTTCCGGACCACATAGAGTCTTGAGTTGGAGCCTGTCTCTGTCCCCACCCCAGCCCTATTTTTGGAGTACTATATTTATTTATTGCTTTTAAAGTGAAGTTTAAAAAATAAGAGACTTTCAGAAAATGTGATGTCGGTGCTGGTTTCACCATCTTCTGGAGCGTTTTAAAACGAGGTAATGTCAAAAATGCCATTTCTTGACCTTCGTCTTGGTGGGCGGTTTGCCGCCGTCGGTGTCCGAAATCCGAAAATAAGAAAGGACCGTAAATTTCGAAAGGACGCGAGACAGGCGATACCGAGTGGGGCTTAGCGGCGGACACACTGCATTCCCCGCCCTTCCGCCGGGCCTCACAGTGGGCCCACGCCAGCACATCATAAACCACTTGACATTCGCTTGGGCTGGGAACACGTCCGGTCAGTTCGGTCCTCCAGTTTTTTTTTTTTTTTGTTTTTCGTTTTTTTTTTTTTTGTAAAATTGATATGCTTTATTGTCTCAATAGAATCCGCCTAGCCGATTTCTATGTATTTCCATTCTGTTGAAGCCAATGGCGGATCTAGAGGGGACAAAGTAGCCCTTTTTGCCTACTTACAGGGGCAAAGTATGGCTGTTGTTTTTTTTTGCCTACCATTCAGGTGGCTGTCTAGGTGTTGCCTCCCCCCACCCCCTGCCTCCTTACCCCCTTACTTTCCCCTCCCCCTGTATCCGCGCCCGCGTTGGCCACTGGACATTGCGTACAACACGAGTCGGCTCGACGGAAACTGAAGAGTCGGGTTTGGGATAATTCCAATGTAACTTTTCTAAGTGTCGTCGGTGGGACCTTGCCGCGCTATGCTGCGCTATAGATAGTCCCGCTATCGAGACATCGACACGAAAACAAGCAGGTGTCGTCAGATAAGTCGAGAGTCGGCTTTACGCCTACACTACACCCACGACCGACCGTCGGCCGCCAGTGCGTCTCTCGAAACGCGCACGCGCTTCCTGGTGCCGCCGAGTAGTAACAACGACAAGATTTATTTTTTAGATTTTAAGACAACGACAAGAAGTTCCCGAGGGGAGCCCCTGCCAAGTCGAGGGTAGGCAACCCGCTCGCTCCGGTGCGTCCGGGTTGCCTACCCCGCGCTTCACAGGGGTTACGGTCACCACGGCCAGATTGGGAAATGGGACTCGAACCGAACGCGTGACCCCATCAATGGGCTCCTCGTTCGGAGAGCAATCCATTGGTCACACGTTCGGTTCGAGTACTGCTTAGCGACTCTGGAGCTAAAAACGCGTCTAGAGTTTTGGCCGCCTCCACCGGTCTTCTGGCCCACTGTGAACCGGTCCACTCCGACCACGTCCTTTTTTCCGCGAAGGGCGGAGTGTACGTCGTCCGCGTTTCAAAGTCAAATACTCTTGACTCATACTCCCTCAGAGGCTGTCTCTGTCACTCGGTGCGCCCATGGTGCGCCCGGGGACAAGCACCGAGGCAGATTAGGGAAGCAGTCGGACTGAAGCAGTGACGTCCTGGGTGAGTGGTGACGTGCTCGCCGCGCTGCCGACGTCACTCTTCGAGTGTCTTCGTCCGGCTTCCTTCGAGGAACGTGCGATAATCCCACTGATACGGCGCCAGGAAATTGTTTTCACTCTAGGTGGATGAAAAATAAGTGTATAGCTTTAAAGACTAATTTTAATTACTAAGGAAGCGAATTTCTATTTCGGGAGTGCGCGGATTCCTGGAGGATCACTCGTGTAAATCACGTCAGAATGTCAGAAACCTGTCTGAAAACCTGATTAAAATTCGCGCACCTCTGAAAGCTGAAAACACCTCCTGGCATTCCGAAGAACTCAAACCATCAATATTAGAGTAATTTTTTAGAATTTCAGCTTTTAGAGGTGCGCGGACTTTGATCAGGATTTCAGACATGTTTCTGGCATTCTGACAAAATTTACAAGAGTGATATGAACTCCTCATCGTGATGACTTTGAGGAGCCTAACTGCTGCGTTTCCGTACGTAAAACTTTCGCGTAAACATTCCATGGGACTGGGATGGGAAACAGTTAATCTATGTGTGTCCGAACGCGACGTCAATATTGTTCATATGACCCTGCAAAGAAGAGGCCGCCCTGAAGGAGGAGGTTGTGAAATAAAATACAAAATCAAAACACGGGGGATAGTTTGTCTTAAAAATAGTCATAATCATTTAAATAGAAAATGCAAACAATAGCACGCGTATATCAAAGAAAGGCAGCTTACAGGAAAGACTCGGGAGTTTTGTGAGAACAGTCTTGTTCAGCGAATCAGCGAAATTCACATTTTCATCAAGTTAGCCTGGCATAGCGGCTCGCTCTGGGTGGTGGTGACAGAGCTCTGGGACATCAAGACTAATTCCGAGAGTCGTTTTCGTCGCTCTGCCTGTCTCGCACTGGCGGGGCGTTCCCTGTGGGTGCGAGAGAGACAGAGCGACGAAAACGACTCTCGGAGGTAGGCAACGGCACGCACTGCGTTTCGCCGTGTTGCCTACCCACCATCTCACAGGCGCTCCTGGGCTCAGCTCGAGGCCTTTAGACCAGACCAGTGTAGGCAGCTTGAGAGGGCAAAACATTTCTCAATGTATGAATGTCAAAAGGGCCGCCAACCTCCTGAGCTGTCTTCGAGTCCAGGTCTGTGCCTGGCTCTCGATAAGTCGCCAAGCGGGCAGACTGAGGTTGGCAACTCTCTCGACGCGGGTGCGTGGTGGTTGGCAATGGCTTCAGATGGACATGAGCCTGGACAGGGGGCGGGGTGCGTGCTGCGTGGTGGTTCGCAATGGCTTCAGATGGACATGAGCCTGGACAGGCGGCGGGGCGCGTGCTGCGCGGCCTGCCGCTTCAGCTCCGGCTTCACGAAGAGGAGGATGACGCAGGACACGAACAGGGGCACCGTCAGGAACACCATGGTCCACATGACGCCGGCCCTGTTCTTGATGTGGCCGCCGACGAAGATGAGCACCACGCCCGACAGCTGCACCACGCTGCACATCAAGGCCGCCGTCGTGCCCTCGGGCTCGGGGAACGTCACCTCGGCGCCGAACTCTAGGCCCACCGGCTGCACGGCCGTCATCGCGAACCTGCCGAGGGAGAGGCAACCTTCAGCTCTCTGTCCGTCTCACAGTGGAGGCGGTCAAAGTCCCGGACGCGTTTTGTGCTCCAGAGTCGCTAAATGGGAATCGAACCGAACGGGTGACCCCACCAAAGGACTGCTCTCCGAACGAGGAATCCATTGGTGGGGTCACACGGTCGGTTCGAGTCCTGTTTAGTGACGCTGGAGCCCAAAACGTGTTTTGACTTTTTGCCGCTGGCTGCCTTACCCGTAGACCACGGCGGTGAGGTAGACCCAGTGCATTTTGCCGGAAGGCAGCAGGAACGTGAAGGCCGCCCAGCCGACCAGGGACAGGACGTACAGCGCCATGGTGCAGGGCCTGGCGTGCCGTGGCGTGGACAGACAATGCACGACGGTAATGAGGAATGAATGGACCCAAAGGGGGCCCACAAAGGCGGAAGCCGGGGCGAACAGTGGGCCAGAAGACCGGTGGAGGCGGCCACAACTCCAGACGCGTTTTGAGCTCCAGAGTCGCCGCACAGGACTCGAACCGAACGTGTGACCCCACCAATGGATTGCTCTCCGAACGAGGAATCCATTGGTGGGGTCACACGTTCGCCTCGAGTCCCTTTTAGCGACTCTGGAGCTCAAAACGCGTCTGGAGTTTGGCCGCCTCCACCGGCCTTCTGGCAAATCCACTGTGAGGGTTCCCTACTTGAACTTGTGCGTCCTGTCGAGGAACACGCCGCACAGGAGCGCGCCCACGATGCCGGACAGGATCATCACCAGGCCGACGACGCCGATCTCCTTCTCACTGTTCTGCAGCACAAAGAAGAAAATTTTTACCAAATGGCTCGGGCGGGAGTCGAAGCCGCGGCGTGACGCTGTCGTCCTGTCGGCCTCACCGGGTGGTGCGGCAGCACGAGCTGGCTGAGCAGCGTGTTGATGGCGCAGTACACCCCCACGTTGAGCGACCAGGACAGCAGCAGCAGCATGAACTGCTTGTCGGCCAGCAGGCGCCGCAGCGACGTCCAGAACTCGTCCGTCTGCCCGTCGTCCTCGCGGTCACGCTGCAGCTGCTGCGCGGGGCTGGGGGGCAGCGGGGGCTCCTCCTGGAACACTGGGGCACGCCCAAGGGCACGCCGCCGGAGCAGTTAGGCCTGCCTGCAGTGGGCCTGGAGGCCGCACAGTGGGCCAGAAGACCGGCGGAGGCGGCCAAAATTCTAGACGCGTTTTGAGCTTCAGAGTCGCTAGACCGAGCTAGACTCGAATCGAGCGTATGATATGACCCCCACCAATGGATTCCTCGTTCGGAGTGCAATCCATTGGTGGGGTCGCACGTTCGGTTCGAGCCCCACTTAGCGACTCTGGAGCTCAAAACGCGTCTTGAGTTTTGGCCACCTCCACTGTGGGCTGGCTGCTACTCACGCGCCAGCTGCAGCACCAGCGACGCCGTGGTGCAGGCCGCCATCCCCAGGAACATGGAGCGCAGGTCCGCGCCGACCTGCGTCAGGTCCTCGCTGTTGGGCACCAGCAACGGGGGGATCCACAGTCCGGCCGCGTTCCCGATCTCGAAAACAGATTCCCCTTTCAGTGGCCCACACTGCCCGCACTGCCCTCACTGCACGCACTGCACAGTGGTCCAGAAGGCCGACGCCCATTTGCGCCGCGCGTCCTGGGTGACTTAGGGGGGCGAGAATAAATGCGTACGTGCAAGTGGCGGGATTAGCCGAGGGGTGACCCACTGTAAAATTTTATGTACAATGATTGTGTGAATGTGTAAGAATGTGCAAGATTTCTGGCGTTTTTGCCACACATGTTGCCTGGGCATTTTGTAGGGTGGCCCCGACCCCGTGAATCAAGCGCACTGATTGACCGGCCCCGGCGCAAATGGCTAGAAGACCGGTGGAAGCGGCCGAAATCTCGGACGCGTTTTGAGCTCCAGAGTCGCTAAACAGGACTCGAATGGAACGTGTGACCCCACCAAAGGATTGCTCTCCGAACGAGGAGTCCATTGGTGGGATCACACGGTCGGTTCGAGTCCTGTTTAGCGACGCTGGAGCTCAAAACGCGCACGAGATTTCGACTGCCTCCATCGGTCTTGGGGCAAATCCACTGTGCGCCTCGCTGTGCGCCGCGTTCGCACTCACCAGGATGCCGATGAAGCCCAGCGAGCAGGCGAGCGACACCTGGTCCGGGCCGAACCAGACGGACGCCAGCCTGGGCGGCAGGAACAGCATGAAGACCTGGCCGACGGCCACCACCACCTGGCCGGTCATGGTCACCCAGAAGCGGTCGCGGCCCACGGAGCCCACCTTGACCCACGAGCCCAGCGACGTCAGCCCTGCCGCCACGATCAGCGCCCAGCGCAGGCCCTGCAACAGGCGTGGGTTCGACGACCGTCAAACGCGGCTTTTCCCTTTTGTTTTCATACATTGCGAAAGGGTTGCCAACCCCATCCTCCCCACCAACTGCTTGAGAGCCAGGCTGAGGTTGGCAACCCCATCCTCCCCACCAACTGCTTGAGAGCCAGGCTGAGGTTGGCAACCCTTTTGACACGGGTGGAGGCATCGCGGGAATTTTAGCCCACTTGTGGACTCCAGCCCCACCTCCGCCGTGCCTCGCAGTCAAATGCCCTGCTTTTCCAACTCTTGTTTCTCGCCAAGTCCGCGCCAAGGTTGTCGAGAATAGCGTAACCACGCCTGGGGAAATGCTTTAAGGCTTTAATCAGTACTACTGCCTGCGTGAAACGAAAATCCCCGCACGTGTGAGACACTATCTCACCCAAACAGCCTCGCCTGAGGTCTAGCGGTAAGCCGAGTCTGGCCGAGTCGACGGGGTGCCGGAGCGTCGCCAAAGTCCGATGGTGGAAAAGACCCGTCGCTACTCCGCGCCGAGCTGCGCTGACCCCATGGAGAAACCCCAGGGCGCACAGGGAGCCAGAAGACCGGTGGAGGCGCTCAAAATCCCGGGCGGGTTTTGAACTTCAGTGTCGCTGAATGGGAGTCGAACCGAAGATTGCTCTCCAACGAGGAATCCATTGGTGGGGTCACACGTTCAGTTCCAGCCCTGTTCCACGACTCTGGAGCTCAAAACGCGTCGAGAATTTTGGCCGCCTCCACCGGTCTTCTGGCCTACAGTGGGACGGGGGGCTGTAAGATGGGCAGTCTTTTTTGACGGAAAAGAGAGCGTCGGAGAGCGTCCGTTTTCGAGGCCTTTCTTGACACGTTTGTCTCACAGTCGGGGCATATCGTCTACTAAACAGTGTACTCACGTGCTTGTCCAGGAACCAGGACGCGGGGATGAAGCACAGCATGTAGGCGATGAGGTAGGACATGCTGGTGAGGTCGACGTAGAAGGAGCTGACGCTGTAGTAGCGCTCGACGATGTTGGTGATGATGGAGTATTGCACCCACTGGAAGGTGTTGGTGATGCCGAGGAAGACGAAGATGGCCAGCATGAGCCAGCGGCGCTTGTACACCTTGATGCCGGTGTGCTCCGCCTGCTCCGCCCCCGACGCGAGCCCCGCGGCCGCCGCGGCCGCCGCCGCCCCCAGGCCGCTGGCCAGGGGGCTCCGCGGCGCGCGGGGCGCCGTCAAGCTGGACCGGGCGTCCTTGAGGTCCCACAGTGTGGTGGACGGCCGCCGGGGGTGGAACGGCGACCGGGGCGCGTAGGGGGACAGCCGCGTCTTGGCTAGCAGGGCAGCGTCCACGCCACCACCCCCGCCGGGCGCGGCCTCGGCGCCGCCGTCGAAGTTGTCCCACGACTTCCAGATGACGTCGATGGCCGTGCCCATCTTGGACTGCCGCTGGTCGTCCGGGCTGACGCCGCTGGCGGGGGCGCTGGCGGGGGCGGTCGTCGCGGACCGCGCCGGCCCCGAGTGCTGCCCCCGGGGGCCGTGGGTCGCCCTCGCCGCCTTCGCCGCGACGTCCGAGCCATCGGGTCCGTTCATGGCGGCCCGGCAGTCACATGCTGAACGGGCGCACCTGAGCAGGAGACACGCGTGCCTGTGAGGCTGGGATGCCCTTATCTCGCGCTTACCGCTCCGCCCTGCCCGCCCTGCCGCCCTGCCCGGCCCTGCCACCGCGCTATCTCAGGCAAGGCTCGGTGCAGGTATCTGGGCTGCTGCATCAGGGGCACCAATTGGCGCCTTTTTGCGCTGCCGTCCCGCCGGGCCGTCGGACCCTCGGCCGGACCCTCGGCAGCCCTCCCCGCGCACCGAGGGGCACCGCCACCGCACTGGCAAAGCCTTGGCCAGGCCTTGGCCAGGCCTTGGCCAGGCCGTGGCCTTACCCGAAACACAGCCGTCAAGGCAGCCCGACTGGTCCAGGGCGTCCAGGACCACGCCGACTACGTCGACTACGTGCAGCGCGCTGGGCAGGTCGGCCCTCCACTGGGTCCACTGGCCAGGCAGGCCAGGCAGGGCAGCAGGGCTGGCCGCGCGGACAGGACTAGCCCGCCGAGCCACTCCGAATCGCCGCGTCGTCGCCCTGTCTCTCTCGCACCTCCACGCGACGCCCCGTGCGTGCTGCGTGCAAGAGAGACAGGGCGACGAGGGTCTGCAGGCGAGCAGGGCTGGCCGGGGCTGCCCTGCAGCCAGATGGCTCAGATGGAGGCGAGGCGGTGAGGCCCGCGAGGCCCGCGAGGCCCGCGAGGCCCCAGACTCATCAGCTGGTTAGCCGGTTGCGCCAAGTGGGGCCGACAGGAGAAGACAGTGCAGGGGAGGTAGGCCCTCGCGAGCCTCGCGAGCAGGAAGCCAAAGACGGTCAAAGGCGTACGACAAACGGGAACAGAACTGCACCGACAGCCGCAGAAAAAAAACGAGGCGAATTGCAGTTTTATATTTGGTTTTATTGTGTTTGTATCAGTCCCGATCGTTTCCGTAGTTATCCCGCCACTCGACGGCCTGGCCAAGCCCTGGCCACGCCCTGGCCACGCCCTGGCCAAGCCCTTGCCAAGCCCTGGCCAAGCCCTGGCCAAGCCCTGGCCAAGCCCTGGCCACGCCCTGGCCACGCCCTGGCCAAAGGCACCCGACGTCCCCGCTCAGCTGTAGATCTCCTCGTAGGGCACGTCGTGGTACAGCTTGGTGAAGCTCTTCTTGAAGAACTGCCCCAGCGCGGCCCACATCTTCTCCTTGGAGTCGTCGAAGATCTCCTTCCAGTTCTCGTTGACGAATTTGTGGAAGTTGTCACCTGGAGGGAGCGGCAGCGGGTCAGCTCGGCTCTATGCTGGGTCCCACGGTGGATTTGCCAGAAGACCGGTGGAGGCTGCAAAAACTCGAGACGCGTTTTGAGCTCCAGAGTCGCTAAATGGGGCTTGAATCGAACGTGTGACCCCATCAATGGATTGCTCTCCGACCGAGGATTCCATTGGTGGGGTCACACGTTCGGTTCGAGTCCCAATTAGTGACTCTGGAGCTCAAAACGCGTCTAGAATTTTTGCAGCCCCCACCGGTCTTCTGGCCCACTGATTGCATTCCTATGGCCGAACGACGACTTACTGAGCTCCTTGTTGCCGTTGAAGAGGTTCTCCACCTTGGCCTCGAGTCCGCCCGGCACCAGGACGACCTTGACGTCCTCCAGCACCATGTACGTCTTGCCGTCCCTCGTCTCGCCCTTGCCCGAGAACGCTAAGTCCAGCGACACGTCCGCTGTGGAGGGCGAAAAAAGGGCGAGTGAGTTTGAAACGGTTCAAAATAAATAGACGGACACCATCAGTCCCGTCGGGATCTTGCACTTGGTTGAATTGGCTGCGCATCGGGCCGCCTTCGTGCAGCCGACGGCTCACTTCGGCGGGCCGTTAGGTGACCGTCGGGAGACCGTCAGGTGACCACATGGTACTGGGGCTGGGGCACCATCGGATGACCTTGGTGACCGCGGCGCGTGCTGCTCCGGGGAACAACCGAGTGCCCGCCAGGCGACCAGACCACCGGGTCAGCATAGGGTGACCAGCAGGTGACGATAGGGTGACCATAGGGCGACCATCAAGTGACCATCGGATGACCATCGGATCAGCTTAACGAGAAGGACCGGATGCGGCGGCCGCCACGCGTCGGCCCATTGAGGGCTTAAAGTAGACTCCGCTGACCGGACAGACAGACAGGCGGACGGACGGACGGACGGACGGGCGGACGGACAGACAGGCCGTCGGACGGACTCTCCTGGCCACAGGCCAATCGGCGATCGCCAAAGCAGCAGACAGCTTGGCGCGGCTTGGCGCTGCAGGGCGGTGCCATGGCGGTGCCCAGGCGGTGCCGAAGAGCGCTTTCGTCGCTCTGTCTCCGTCGTTCTAGTGGGGCGTGCCGGATCGGTGCGAGAGAGACAGAGCAGAGCGTGAGCGATGAAACGCCGTGCGGAATGAGTCGGTAGCGCCTGCTGGGTTCCGGGTAGGCAACCCGGTCGGTGCCTCGGCGAGAGGGTTGCCTACCCCGCTCTCCGCAGGCGCCCTGGGCCCTGGCGCTCGTGGGCTGCGCTCGTTGTACTTACTGTACTTGAGGGTGAAGTGGCCGGCACCCGACACGGGCATCATGAGCAGCTTGCCGCCCAACTCGTACTCGCCCTCGTTGACGATCTCGGGGACCTTCATGTTGACGCGCAAGCTGAACTTGTCCGGGTCGGCCCTGTCGGCAGCGGCGAGGGTCGTCATTGGGAGAGTGCATTCCGTTTCCTCTCTAATCGGCCGACACTTACTCGACCAGCACGATCTTGCTGTTGGTGAACAGTCCCTTCATGACGGCGTTCTTGGTGACCATCTTGAGGTCCTTGGTGGAGTAGTCCACCGTGCCGACCTCGATGGGGTCCAGCACGGGGATGTCGTACGCGGGAATACCTGTGCAAGCCACGCATTAGCTGTCTTCACAAGCTCTCACAAGTAAAAACAAAAACCATGTGGTACAAAAATAGCACACGCAAAAAAATGGCACGGGTGCCATTTTCTTTACTGCTGTGCTGCATTTTTCGTCCCAGTACGAAAAGTTAGCAGCGGAGCATGCAAAGTCCTTTATTTGGAGTTTCATATAATCTTTTCACATTATTTCTATTGCGCGCAGCAGAGAATTGACCTCACCCTTCACCATGACGGGGAAGAGCTTCTCCAGCGACTTGACCATGCACTCGTTGATGGTCGGGCCCTTGGGACACGCCGTCCAGACCCCGGCTGTAACGACAAACCAACATCGTTCTTACACTCAAAGGGAACCACCGCCACCCCTCCACCAATTGAGTCCTCGTTCGGAGAGCAATCCATTGATGGGGTCACACGTTCGGTTCGAATCCCATTCAGCGACTCTGGAGCTCAAAACGCGTCCGGGATTTCGGCCGCCTCCACCGGTCTTCTGGCCCACTGTGCGGCCGACTCCGGCGGAGGTGGGGGTGGCCTCGCAGTACTCGGAGGAGGCCGCCCGGAGGCTTCGCGCCGCACTTACTGAGGGCTCCCGCCTCCGCCGCCCAGGGCGCGGAGACGGCGAGCAGCGCGAAGAGCGCGAGGACGGTCTTGGCCTGGATCATGGTGGCGAGTGGATTGCTCGGCGCCCGCACGCGCCGCGTCGTATATGAAGCGCCGCCGGCGCCCCGTCCGCGCCCCGGCCGCCCAGAAAGAGCATTCCGAACGGTGCTTTCGTCGCTGTCTCTCTCGCACTCACGGAGCATTCCGCAGACGCGCGAGAAGGACAGAGCGGCGCCGCAGTGTTCCGGACCAGCCTGCACGCCGTCATCATGCCGGACGATTAAACATGAGGCTTTTACTGCTATTCCGCGAAGCACGACGCGTCAAGCTGCCTTTTGGACCAGCGGCCGATGAGGGGAACTCTTTCACCTGTTTCAAGGAAAATCGAGAGTTTCCTTTTTTTATGCCCAGCATTTTCTTCCAATGCTCATCGCTATTGTACCGTTTAGGAAGGCCACCCATTCGGCACGCCGCGGGGAATGCGTGCAAAACAAAGTTTAAACATAATGCCAAGCCTGGGAGTCGAACCCACGTCCTCTCTCCTTGCGGCCGCCTCCTCAGCGCTCTGAGCCACCGAGACGAGTATGTTGCGACCAAACTCCAATGGTAATGGGTTGTCTCTACTAAAACCCCATATCCTTTAACTTTTCAAGAAAACCAAAACATTGAATCGAAATACAAGACTGGGTGGCTTGAAGGGGGTTGAAAAAAGGACATTTATTTTGCAATAGGGTTTATTAAAACAGAGTACCTCAAAGAACAAAAGTACAGTTAAAACATGATCAATAATAATGAGAAATATACTTTAAAAAAATAATATTCATGCATTTTAATACAAGTATTATATAGAGCAAACTGACAGTTACAGGATAGAAGAATTTTAGATTACAAAAATCAGATTGCATTAAAAACAAAAGTGAAAAAAATACAAATTTTAACTGGTAAGTAGCAGTAGAACAACAGAATCCATAAGCAGTGGTGATGTCAACAGCTATGGCTAGCATTAATAATAGAGACTTCAAAGTGAATATAACAGTGCTCAGTCTTTAACAGATCAAAGTACTGTGCCAAGGAGAGAGAGAAAATATATACTAAAACCATTACAGTACACTTGACAACAATAATACAAAGGTGAAGCAAAAGGATAACAACACCCACAATCAAATAAATAAAAATATTCAATCAATCAATCAATCACGCAACCCCTCTCTTTGCATCTTGCGGAGCCCTGCATTAGAGACTCCTATTTGCAATTTGCAGCGTTTGTACACGCATAGAGAGTTTATGGATCTTTTCTCTGATAACAAAAACAACTCATGTGTAACACTAATACTTGCATTGGTCGATACAGAAAAATCACAGATTCTTTAAAAATCACAGTGGAGGATCATGGAAGAGGTAGGTTAGAAGCTCCGCTTCTGTCATGTGTGTACGGTACTTGCTCACTAACTCCTGTACTTTCAGGCGTCTTCTCACATGGGGAGGTTGGTAGCTAGAAATAGGAGGACAATGAAAATGAGACAATTAAGTAAAAGGCAAACCTTAAGGTTGCGTGACTGAATTCAACTACAAGTTCATGGTACTAACCTGTCATTGTCCAGTCTTCGCCTGCGACACATGTTTAAAGCTGTCTGTCTGACCAGAGGTCCCAAGGCACGTCGGCTAACAACCATACCGTCCACAAGAGGAGTTGCCAAACTCATACTGAAAACAGAGGTTGTGTTGCGTTACAAATACAATCTGAGCAAAATACACAGGCAGAAGAAAAGAAGGAAAAAAAAGGGATATGATGTTGAATTAAATTCTCTTCACTTACCGTCCCTGTGGACCTTGAAGTTTGACCCTCAACAGACCACTTGGAAGTGCATGAAGAAAAATGACAAAACAGTCCTTGTCAGCAGAAAGAGAGGAGTCACTGGGAATACTCGGCAATTCCAAACCTGTGCTGGTGTATGCCAGCAAGTCACCTGAAACAAGCCAGCAAGAGGTAAGTTTCTTGACAAATAAAAAATTCATATAATAAAGGTAGCAATCTGATCAACTTACTTAGAGGTACGTAAACATTATCCTCAAAGCTTTCCAACCAAATTATCATGACTTTGGTAGGGGCGTGAGGAGGCGGCCCCCCTCTCGAGGTGCCTGTCCGCCTCCTCCCACTATCACTCGAACCTGGAGGGCCCGTTTGGGTCTGGGGGAGGGCGCCTTTGTCCAAGTCGAGGGAGAAAGCCCTTGGCTTGTCCAGGTTAAGGGCGGTGTGTCTGTCGGTACCTTGGTCACGGCCTCGGTCGGGACCACCAGGCATCGCAGAACTTTTGAGGCTCCGGGCAACAGCATTCACTCCCCCACAGTCAGAGACACTTCGCTCGTACCACCCTCCTGGAAATCAAACTGAGTCAGAACAGGTGCAAGACCAAGAGAAAAGTTCTTGAAAGAAGTCTTACTCGAACTTGGCAGCTGCTGCTGTTGTTGGGAAGGAGCACTTGTGAGGCTGCAACTGCTGGTGTTTATGCTCATGTTCGGATCAGAACGCTCTGCATCAGTCCCATGAAAACCACTCCCCATATTGTTCGCTGTCGGAACAACAAAGGCTATTTCGGAACTAACGTCAGCCCAATAAAGAGCCTGAGTGTCTCCGTTGTACAGGCTTCCTCCATGGTCAGTGCTCACCCACTGTTCAACTGAAAATAGCACAAAGATTTAAGAGGAGACATGAGAAAAGAATAGAGATTTCCAATAAATGATAAACACTCACCAATTGGAGGAGGGTGCACTTTCCAGCTAGTGCTGATGTGCCCCGTCCAACCTGGGTGTTGGTGAACATCGACAGGCCAACCAAGACACAGAAGCATTTCCAGGAAATGAGCATCAACACTTGATTCAGAAAGCTACAAAAAGACAGATAGTTTCAAAAATTGCATAATTTTAAAAAAATGTTATAGGTAATTGAAAGGACCACTTACAACATTGTCTACAATTTCAGATGCAGTCTTCTGTCCAGCTCTCACATAAAATACATGAGCAGTGTCACATGTCCTCACACCAATGTTATCTAATGCTTCAAGATCAGCACAGAAGTTTGGGTTACAGGCATCCAAAGCTGTGAGAGGGGGCACTGGTGAAGTGACACAATCCTACAATTGCATAAAAAGTATAAGCAAGGATATTACTATTTTTTCAAAAACAACAACTCAGAAAAAAAGTAATTGTTAAAAAGTCCTATTAACCTGTAGGGAGTCAAGGGACAAGAAACCAAAATGAGACAAAAATAACCGGGCAGTCTGAAAGTCGTGCACAACCGGAGGTGGAGTGCATTCTTTCTCTAATCCCCCCGAAACACCAAAGGGCTCATCTTGACATGATGCGTTGCGTGATGCGGATGCGCTGAGTGGTGTGCTGTTTGCTCCCAAACTGCCTCCTGCTTCCAAAGATGCCTGCTTCTCTATTAACTGGGCCAAGCGAGTGTGTTCCATAGCTGTTGTTTCATTAGAGAGAAGGGAATCTAGACTGGGAATTGATTTGTCTCTGCAAAGAAACGAGGAAAAGACGTAAACATCTCTTAAACATTGGTAATTACGTTACCAATGAATAAAACACAACTCTTTGCTTGGTTACATTTTGCAATGTGGAATACGATCAACACTTTCTGGAAAATGTCTATGAGCGCTGGAATGATAAGTACTCTGATCTGCCATAGGCACAGGACGTCCTGGACTCATTCCGCATCCTGCCATTGACACTTTGTGAGGAAGGCCTGATTTGTGTCGAGGTAAATGTCTTAGCTGCATGGCCCAAGCGTGCCGCCCAAATGGACCCCGAATGAGAACTGTCACTGTAGGCTGGGGATCTGCAAAACCAAAACAGTAAAATTAAGTTCAGTCTTTTTAAAAAATCCTCAGCAAAGGAGAAGGTAAGAGCAGATAAAAATTAACCTTGATCGTTCCCTAGAGGCTCTTCCAATAGCGCTAGTACAGTGGAATTTTCTAGAACAAAGTACCGGAACCTCTGGACTGCAGCTGCTCTACTAGAAGCAGCAGGACCACCACCAGGTGTTGGCCAAGAGTTGCAGTGTCGCAGCAATGAGACTTCATCCAACAAAGATGATAGGGACTCTGCTCCACAGGGTGATGGAAAACATCCCACCTACAAGATAAAGCAGGAAATGCTACTTTCATCTCAAAGAAAACAACAGTCTCAATACAATTCAGAATTAGGAGGAAAAGGCAAACCTGTTCTAAAACAACTGTCAGTAGAGCTTCAGCAGAGTCTCGAACACGCATTGATGCAGGTTTCAGCTCCTTTTCATCTTTCATTTTGACAGGCTCTCCAGGCTTTCCCTGATAACAAGGACACTTATGAAAGTAGCAGAAGGGCATTTATGGAGAAATAGAGATACAAGAAGCCAAAACTTACAACAGACTTGGACCCAGAGATTCCCAACTCTACCACTTCCAGCACCGTTCCTAAGCATTCTTTATCTTTCAGCAAATATGGATGTGCCACAAGCCAAATTGCACAACACTGAAATGCAGCAACAATGGTCGAATGCAGATCTTTGGAGTGAGCTGGAGGAGGACGCCAGCATTGATAGACAATGTAATCACACAACCACTTCACAGCTCTTTTGCATTCCAACGAATCTGTATTTAAAGCAAATGCGATATATTTACATGTTTCTTGAGAAAAACCTAGCAGCTATTTTTAAAAAATCAGCTCCAAGTACAAACCAGTTTCTTTAATAGAGATGCGAGCCAGTCCTGACAGCAACTCCAAAGCAGCTAATGATACGTTTAGATCTGTCTTCCAGCTCGATATCAATCGATGGCAAACCAAATATGTTGCCCGTACAAACAAGGCATGAGCAGAATCTGTGGATTATTCACAATACAATTAAGAAAATGAACAAATTCTAAAATTGTCAGCTTGAGAACACAATGAGTCACCACCACATAAAATTTTGTACAGACTTTTGAAAAAGTTATAATGAAAAAAATAAAATTTTAAAAAATAGCAGCACCTTTTCCACAAAGCTCACATACACTTACTTAACAATGGCGTGCAACAAGAAACAAGCAGTTTAGAAGTCACATTTACAAATCTGTAGATGCTGTATATATAATGACCCATGAACAGGTTAGATCTAATAAGACTGCAGAGATTAGTCTGAAAGACAGATACTGTTGTAAAGTAATTTCTATTTTGGTGCATACACTGTCACTAATGTAATGTTAGATAATACAGCCGACCAACACCATCCCTTGGGGAGAAGAAACAGGCCCACACCACCACCTAAATGATTAAAAGAGGAACACAAATGCAAATAACAAAACCACTTTGAAGCAAAAAGGATGCAAAAGAACAAATTACACAACACAAAAACCATGCAAAAGAGAACAAATAAAACAAATGAGAAGAGGAATGTTTATGTGAACACTACTGTTACTGTTAGTAAATATCAATGAGACACTCTTGAAGTGTCCAAGAAATGTCTGAGAGTAGATAAATTAAAGGCTCTGAGGTGCAAAGCCACATTTGTGACGGCTCCTTATTAAATAATGATGGATGTTCAGATAGAACAGATAAAACTCAAAACACACAGAACTGATGCTCAGATTGTAAATAAGAAAAAAAGATTGAAGGAGACAGCAAACCAAAACATAACAATATTTTTTCTTTTTGCGTTTTTCGAAGATAAACAATGTAAAGCTTCAAGAGGCTAGCATACAAACAAAATAAAATGCTTCAATTACATTTGTTGATGCCGCAACAGGGAGGTTGGTCGAAACGCTCAAACCAACTCAAAGCACTACCAGGATCTCGATCACTTTCAGCACCATCCACTATCTCCTCACCATGGCTAGGGGTCAGGCTGGGAAGACTAAGGGAGCTCATAGTGTCAGAAGCTAAAAAAATAAAAATAAAAATGAGCATAAACAGAAAACAAAACAAACATTATGGTCTTGGAGTTCCTGAGGGCAAATTTACATACACATACCAAGCAAACTAAGCTAGAGCTCGAGCGTACGATTGAAAACAGCAGGAAAGGTTGGCACAGGAAATAATACTGACATGATGTTGCCACACAAAGGTGATCATTAACAGAAAAAAAAGGGGGAGGGGAAGCAAAATCTTCCATTTTAAATTACTTTTAACTACAAATTTCTTTGATTCCTTAAAACTAAGAAATTCAAGTAGAGGAAACATAAAATTTTATTTTGTGATTTAAAACAGACCAACATATACGCCAAGTCAAGAGAAAATTTTAATCAAAGGATAAAGAAATTCAGATTATGCATGCTATTCCTCCAACCAAGCTAAGACACATTGGATATCACTTAGATGAGCCCAGAGTTCAACTATCCCTCTTATTTGGCAGTGAGTTTCATAGCCACAGAAACACCATAAAAGCACCTTAATATTGAAATCCAAACAAACAGTGAAAAATTTATCAGACTTCAACAATATGCTCTTAAACAGAGGAAAGGCCATGTTTAAATTAATAATTAGGGAACCATCATGCCAAAATTGTTAAATTTTAATGTGTTACAATTAGTTTTAGACTCTTCCTTATTCGTCAGTTTTGCTTAACAAGTGATATGTCGAAGCAAAATTTTAATGTGAAGCTGTTGAAAGTCCAATCATGAACCTTGAACCAATCCTCCTCAGATAATGAATAATGAGTTTTAAAGTCGGGTTTCAGTATGCTGCATGAAATCAGCAACCACCACACCAAAACAGGCTAATTAGTAATGAATTATTATATCAGATGTCCCATACTATCAATGTTCTAGCCAAACAACATAATAATTCTCTCTAATGCAGAACAACTGTTTAAACACTACTGCAAATTTCACATGGATGTTTGCACATTCAATTGTAAAATTTCTGTCCAGGAATATTCTAAAGCATACTTCTTACCTGATGACAGAAGATTGCTTGCACTGTCACTAGTGGTTAGGCCGGAATTTCCTGCATCAGGCTGTGAAACTTGGTCTGATAGCTCAAATGCTGCAGAATCTTGAACACTTAACAATAATCCTCCTGTAAATATAACCCATTTTTAAGGTAGTGTTTTGAAAGCAATTTAAATTTTATTTTATAATACTATTTATACTAACCAAGGAGCATTTGCGTGTTTTGAGGATCTGATTCCACCTGCAAAGCATTGATAAGGAGGTTCATCAAGCGTGGTTTCAGCTGAGAGAAAGTCAAAGGAGTCCGGTCAGAACATCCCATTCCTGTGTTGGGGTTCAAATCCTTGATTGTAAGATTCTAAAAAAAGAGAAATAAGAGGATCATAAATTAATTGACTAAGAAAATACCCATTGTTATATAATCTCATGGCCTTTAGAAAACACAAGCATACCTGAAAATGTAATGGAAGCACAAGAACTGACAGAAGTAGGTGAATAGAAGCACGTCTGAGCTCAGTCCTGGATACTGTATTTGACCTTAATTTGAGTTCCTTGTCAGGGAGAACTTCTTCCAGTGCATCAATGACATACGGTAATAGGACCTGAACTCCATCAAGGTCCAGCCGGAATAAGTCTGCAGAGTTCAATAAGATGCTGGCCAGTACTTCACTGCACTCAGAACCCTGGAATGATACAGAAGAAAAATGTTAAAAAAACGAGAAGATTTTGTCAGAGTTAAGTCTTGGCAACTGGACTCACCTCTCCAACACGAAGACCTTGTTGAAGTGTAAGGTAGAATCTTGCAAGGTAAACAGGTAAGATCTCCTCCCCTGTTTTCTTTGCACAAAATATACGACAAAGAGCCCCCATAGCCTCTGCTCTGCCCGCTTGATAACGATCAGCCACTGTTGCTGACAAACTTTCAGTGTCATCTGAAAGTGAGAGAGACAGAGAGCCTGGCTGGGAGAGAGAGACAACAGAAGAACTCCCCTTCCGAGCTGTTGAATCCATCAGTACAGAATTCGGCCTCTTCGAGCTCCCTGTTTCAGATCCTGAGATAAGATAATATTATTCAAAGGGCTAACCGTTCTCAAATAAAATCTCAAGAGTATAAAAATGAATGATCCACTTACTTGTTGCATTGACTCGACTGGCATATGCAGATTCACAACCAATTTGAGCAGCCTCAAACAACCATTCACCAAATAAGTGGAGGATACTGTTACACTTGGGTCTGGATGGTGCTAGTGCATTACGGAATTCTGACCCTAAAGATACAATAGCTGAAAGAAGGAAAAAGAAAAAAATAAGAAACGAATGCAAACCACACAACAATGAGCACAAGAAACATGCTGTGAAGAAGAAACCATTTAACTACAGTGATATCTATGAAACATTGAAACTAACATGAAAGGCTTGAGGTAGATGACGGTCCTGAGTTTGGAGTGGGAGGGTTATGATGGGAAGCTCTGCTGCTTGTTAAGCCAATTAAAGCGGACTTTGGAATACCTGCAAAAAGGACACTATTCAGCAGAAGTTGACAAAGAGACAAAATGTACTACAACTTCCACAACCGAGGCCCCTCGCAAAAAAGAACTTAAGTTCACAACAAAGACTACAACTATGTAGTAATTCTAACACTCTAGAATAGTGAAAGAAACAAACAAAAAAAACAATACTCTTTAAGACAATACAGCCAGAATAATTCAGGGGAAAAACAACAAAACACTAAGAAGAAGGTTAGAAACAAAAACAATTAAGAGACTTGAGAGAAATCATAAGTGTTTCGAGGAAGCAGAAAGAAAAAACTAATCCATCATGCATTGGAATATAATAATAAAATAAAATGAAAAAGACAGGGGGAGTGGGAAATCAGGAATACTCTCCAAACAAAGAAATAAAAGAAAACCACAGTTTCCAGAAAAAAAGGGCAGCGGTACAAGAAAATACAGACAATCACAAAGCAGAAGCCTACCCTTTGTGACAGTAGAAGGGGTTACACTGAAACTTTTGGCGAGTCGTCTGGTAGGCACAGGAGTAGGTGTAGAAGAAAGGGGACTAGGACATGAGGTTTGAGAGCCTCCAGTGTGAAGAGAGGGGGAAGAGAAAGGTGATGAATAGCCATCTTTACGTTCCTTCTCTGACAGCAGTCCAAAATCCATGTGCATACAATGAGCTATCCCTAAAAAAACACATAAAATTTACAAATAAACGTTTTAAAAGATACCTCTGCCTATTTTAAATTGAAGCTACAAACAAAGATGTTTCTTGTTCTTTTAAAGCTATGTATCAAACTAGTAATAGTTCATAGCCAGATAAAATCTTGAATAAATCATAGTCACAAAAGTTTTGGAAGAGAAGCTTAAACGAAATGAAAGAACACAAAACATTGATTTTAAAAGAGTGCTAAGTTAGGCGGCACAGAACATTGACAAAAGCAACAAAAATAGCATTCTTCCACCAACAAAACACCAGTGAGCAACATATATCAATCATATCTGCTTGAGCATTTCAATAATTTCAATTGAAGATTTTTTTTTTGTTTTCCTATAAGTTGTGAAAGACATAAGACATGTAGAAAGAACAACTTACCAAGAAATGCATCAACCTGTCCTGCTACACCTCTGATGGCCTTAAGAAAGATGACAGGTAAAGCAGACAGACAGGGATGTTGACAGGGATCAACAACACTGTCTGAAGCCAGGGCATACTGTAGAAATTTTTGAGTATGTGATATGACTCCTGGTCGACACAACTGAGCAGGATTTCCCAAGGTATGCAGAAATCTAAACCAACTCTGTGAAATGCAATCAGGAGTCATATCTGCTGGAACAAGCTGTGCGTCTTCCTCAGCTGTAAGATGTTCAGAACAATTGCAAATTAAGACGTAAATGGAATGCTGAAACACACAAATTATATTCCTTAAGGCATGTACATACGTATTTTCAGTTCAGGAAATGTAGGGCCATACATAAATTGAATGAGTCTTGAAGTGAGGGCCAAGTTAACTCTGTTCCACTGTTCAACAAGGGCTACTCGATGTCTCCAATTGTGACACATTTCTCGAAGTGTCTTCCATAGTGGAGGTGATGGGAAACAACGAGCACAAGCCAAGAGCCACACCTCCAGAAGGACGCTGAGAACTCTTTCACAGAGCTGGTCACCAACATCATCTACAATAAAGACAGCATGAAATAAATGGAAAAAGGCACAGAAGCACTGATTTTAAGACTATGCTTACCCTTGACGGTGGGAGGTGCAAGCAATGTATCATTAATAGCAAGTAAAAACAGAAGAAGTGCCTCCCATGTGTCACGAGACAATGTTGTTGAGGTTTGAGCTATGTGTTGAAGTGTGCGCAGAACTCGGTGACAAAGCACTGCCTGGCGGTTTATTGTGTCAGCCCCTGAAAACAGTGATTCAATTACTAACAAATCTAAATTATTACTTACATTGTATCTGTCCATGAAAAGAACATAAAAGAAAACAAACAACACAAAATATAGCTGTATATTTCTAGAACTCAATGAACACAAAACCTAGGTGGCCTACAATAGGGGTAAATAACAAAAATAATTTTTTTGCTCTTCCTTCTTCTTTAACAAAACCAGAAAAAAAATGTACAAGCACCTTGTAATGGGATCAATACATTACCAAAAACAGATAAAAAAAGCATCTATTAATCATAAACAAGCCTAATACTCATCATGCACAGAGAGGCACACCTGAAAAAGGTAGCTTTGGTGGGAAACATTCAACACAATGTGCAACTAACAACAACCAAACTTCAACATATCCCAAGATCTATAAATTGAATTGGGTTGCTAAGCCTAATATGTGGAAGCATAACATAAACCCATGCCTCAAACACCTTCTCTAACAGAAAAGTAATTTCGTTTTTAAGTTCCTTTTACCTAAGTCCGAATACAGGAAGGTCCACGCTTGAAAACAGAAATCAAGGATAAGACAAGATTAATCCAGTAATACCTATTCAGGCCTCAGAATTTATTTTAATATGCTTCCCTGGCAGATATTTTACAGTGAGGCTTAAGTTTGTTGGCATCAGAAAGAAACTGCAGCAACTTACCTTCCCCTTTACGTGGAATAAATAAATTGTGAAAGTGAGCAATAATTCTTCGGGCGTATAAATCAGGGTCTTCAACAACTGGTTTTGGTACACTTATTTTCGGAGAAGGTTGAAGTGCAGAGAGCCACTCACAATAAACATTGACACAATCCCGAATGGTATCATGTTCACTGAGAGGAAGACTAAGGCCAAAACATATCACCTGTAAAGTGGGATGTAAATTAGCTGAATTCTCTATGAACTGGAAGAAATGTGAATGGACAAAGTCAAAGAGAACTTACTTCCATGCACCATTGTACTTCTCTGTCAGTAATCAGATTGCTCGGTTGCGGAGGCTGTGAAATACCAACATTGGAGGCCAGCTGACGGATGATTGCCAGGGCAACATCTTTACCAGCATTGCCGGGAAACTTTTCCAACACACTGTGCCCTTCTTCACTGCCATTGAGCAGCCGAGGGCTCAGGGAGGCCCACTCCCTGTACATGCCAGGGCGAGCTATACTGCCCTCGCAATCGGACTGAAACAAAGTGACAAATTGATGCTGCAGCTCAAAATCATATCAAGGCATACAACAGGTATGGACATACAACAGCTAAAAATAAAGGACGCACTTCTTTCTGTGCAATCAAAAATGTAAAGAGTGACAGGTACCACGTAAATGCAAAAATTACAAACACACAAGATAAAACTATATGAATGAAAATAGAAGCAACTTTAGTTATTTTGAAACAGAAATATCAAATCGCGAATATTTATTTAATAAAAGTAGAACACACTTACTTTCAGGTTAACCTTGTTCAACACACTCAAATTCATAGATAATGATTCAAAGGGACATTGTTGCAGGCTAAATAAAAACAAACAAATAAATTAACTCTTCTATCGACGCAAAGGTAGTGACACCAGGTCCTTCCATATCTAGTTGATCATTGCCAGCCGTCCTTAATTTCAACTTTCGGATAGTAAATAAAAGTAGCCTAACTTATTTGACACTTGAATTGCAATGTTGGGTTGGGACAGTGATGCCAACTACGAGATATGAGAAATTGTTCTTCTTGAAATTTCGTCTGCTTTTTTTGAACGGTCTGCTGTGTGCTGCTGTGTCACTTACAGAAACTGCTGCACCACGGTCCATGATTTGAATTTTTTCCATCGATTCTTAAATTTAGAAACCCATTAATGTTATATTTTCATTGAAATTGAAGTCTTGTTTACGAGTACGGCAAACAAGAAATCTTGTCAACTCTATGAAGTAACAAAAGGGCATGTCTTTACAACTGTTGCGGCGGGTTTCGTCTGCTTTGTTGCCTGTGACAGCTTTTATGAAATCCAATACAGTGGGTGTTAAATGTTCAAATGGTCAAATATTTCTTGATCAAATGTTTTATATTTGGTCAAAATATTTGTGAAAAACTTTTCTCTTTCCAGATGTCAACCCAGGGCAAGCCCTTTGGTGTGCCGTATTATGATGGGAACGAGGAAAATTTATCAGATATTGAGAGGTGGCTGTCAACTTTTGAAGGAGGACAAGTGATCTTATGTAAAAACGAAAAAAGTGGTGTAGCAGAAATAACACTTGACCACCCAAACAAAAGAAATGCCATGAGTGGTAAGACAGACCGTTTCATTTTTTTTTCCGCTTTCTATTTGTGCTGTATCATCTACATTCTCTCTATACTTTTTGTGTATTATAGGATTAATGATGGTTCAGTTAGGAGAGATTGTGAAAGCACTTGAAAACTGGACTGAGGGGAAAGGTGTCCTCCTTCGAGGAGAAGGCAGTATCTTTTGTTCAGGGGGAGATCTTGACTTTGCTAAAGCTTCAGCTGGTGCGGAGGGAGGATTTAAAATGGCTTGCTACATGCAAAATATTTTAAGTCGCCTGAAGGCGCTACCAATGCTAAGTGTAGCTCTAATACATGGTCAAGGTACTGTATTCAATGTCAGCTACTCCATTTGAAGTTGTAACTGACAAACGGACCACTTTCAATAATGGGTTAATTGTTCCATATACAGGAGCTCTGGGTGGTGGTGCTGAAATTGCTACTGCTTGTGATTGGAGACTGATGACTAAAGATTGTAGTGGCATTGGAATGGTTCACACTCGAATGGGCATTGTGCCTGCATGGGGAGCCAGCTCCAGACTCGCAGCCATCGTTGGACCTCGAATTGCATTAGAACTCATTTCATCCAGCAGAATAGTTTCGCCTCAAGAATCTCTTCAAATAGGCTTGGTTGATCATATTGTGAGTCCCATCAAGACTTATGCAAATGACATGCATTTTGAAAGAAAATGAGGTAATTAAATGTTTTCAATTGTGTTTAGGTGGATCCAGGCCCTGAAGGCAATGGCACACTAGATGCCACACAGTGGCTCCTGAACCATGTTCGGGCAGACTCTCAAGTAATACGTGCTGCAAAAGCCACCATGTCCAGTTTTGAGCACCACGTTGGATATACCAAATCATTAGAAGATGAGCGAAGACTTTTTGCCCCTCTTTGGGGTGGTCCAGCGAACCAATCGGCTTTGAACAGTCGTATCAAACATTTAAAGTAACTGACCACTTGGCAGCAGTGCCGTTGAAAACATTCATGTTGTAGATAAGAAATCCTGGCCCAGTCCAGAAAAAGTGCGATTGTGAGGTTTGGAGAAATGCATAAGTTATGTTGCCTGAATTTATTTTTATAAATGAAAAGTCCTTCTTCTTGTAACTTCATAAAAATAGGCTTTTATTTTTATTATTAAAATATAATTCAAAAGAATAGACTGCAGTAAAATTGTTCGAAACTTGCTCTGAATACACTTTGGGCATGGCGTTGAAAAGCCGTTTATAAGGCACGTCTACACCTCACACTAGCACCAATTAAAAGGAAAAAAACACAAACAATATTTATTTTATGAGCAATAAGACTCATCTGGGGAACCGATTTGAAAATCCGGATTGGATTTCGGCGCCGCCTGCTTATGAAAACGCTTTTAGGTAACAAGGGAAGTCAGTCCGAGGCCTCTGGGATGAGCCTGTCGTTGACGATGAGGCTGTGCACGATTCCCTCTCGCCTGTTGCCGCTGCTGACCGCCTTGATGAGGGCGGGCCAGCTGCCCAGGGTGAAGTGGGTCTCCGTCCCGTCGTCTACGAATTCACCCTGAAACGGAAAAAGCGCGTCTCGTCACGCGCCGAATTCAGACACAAAGTTCGCAATAAGACGCGAGTTCGTCTTTACTCACGGTGGCTTCCAGTTTTTTGCCGTTCGCCCAAATGTCCAGGGTGTCCTTTTCTGCAACAGAGAGACCTATCGGTGTTACAGTGCGGCAGGCAGCCCATCGACCAGCACACGGATTCCGAGAGTCGTTCTCGTACGTTCTCGTCGCTCTGTCTCTTTCGCACTCATGGGCACCCCGTGTAGGTGCGAGAGAGACAGCGCGACGAAATGACTCGCAGGACGTGGCGTACCCAGCACGACGCGGTACTGCTCGTCGTTGGGCAGGGTGGCGAGCCAGGTCCTCATGGCGCGCCCCTGGTTCTCGTTGAACTTGTGGTAGTTCTTGCCGTTCACCTCCAGCTCGTAGGAGTAGCTGAATCCTCCCACTGGCTCCACCTGCACGCAATCCAGTGGCAGCCCATTTCAACTTTTGATTTAAAGCTGACCCCCCCTCCTCTTTTCCTCTCCCCTTAACAAACACGAAATCTTCACCTTGATGACACAGCGCGCGTTGGACTTGCCGAGGAGGAACACTTCCGGTCCTACGAGCTTGAACATCCAATCTCGACGGAGAATCTCCTGGAAATCCAAGATGGAGCACATGACGTGGGTTCGAGTATCGTCACCGGGGATTTTTTTTTCGTTTGAGATTGTTTTAAGCGATGAATGAGCCGGCCTGGGGTCAGGCCGCGCAGTGGGCCAGAAAGCCGGTGGAGGCGGCCAAAACTCTAGACGCGTTTTGAGCCCCAGAGTCTCTAAATGGGACTCGAACCGAACGTGTGACCCCACCAATGGATTGCTCTCCGAACGAGGAATCCATTGGTGGGGTCACACGTTCGGTTCGAGTCCTGTTTAGCGACTCTGTGCCTCAAAACGCGTCTAGAGCTTCGGCCGCCTCCACCGGTTTCCTGGCCCACCGCGCGCCGGGTCAGGCTCACCTTGCCGTCGACGCGGATGACCCTCTTCCCCGTGGTGGTGCCGTGCTCGAACTCCACAGTGTGCACGCCGTCGCTGAGGGTTCCCCCAACCCCCTTCCCAGGGGGCCCGGGGGACCCCCCCGGGTCCGCCGGTTTGGAAGGGCAGGGAGGGGGTCCGGGCCGGCCCTCCCTTGGTACCCCGGGGCTGCAGGGGGGAAACCCGCACCCGTTCCCCGCACCGCTTGGAAGGCTGGAGTTTCCCCCCTCCACGGCGGGAGGGCGGTCGGCGGGGGTCCGCAGCCGGCATGCCTTGGGGGGACGTCGTGTCTGCACCTGGGGGACGTGGAGCGAGTGGGGGCAAATCGAAAACGCCTTCCTCGGGAATCCTTTTGGGAAAAGGCTGGGCCACGCGAACCCAAACGGCGGGTGGGCCGGGGGGTAGGACGGCCTCCAAAGCCGGGCGGGCGCATTGGAGGGTCATTTTCGCCCGGGGTCTCTCCCGCACCTTTAGGGGTCGCCCCATGAGCTCGATCCGACGCACTATGCACAAACCGACCCCCTCGGAACCCAGTCTGCGGCATGGGGACTGCAGGCGAATCCGTCGACGTGGAAGTCGGCCTGAAGCCGCCAGGCTCCCCGGCCGCCGGGCCAGGCAAGACCGGCTTGCTCAGCTTGCCTTGGCGGAACTTTTTTATTTTCCTCACTTTTTTTTAGGAAAACGGAATATCGCTCCATCCTGGCACCCGTCTCCGTATCTGACATTCTAATTCTTATTTAAATGCGGGAAAAGTTTTTTTTTATCTCGTTTTTTTTCTGTCCTTCCCTTATTCCCTTCGCCCGATGGCGACGGTTACATTCCCGGGGCAGCCCTGGAATCCTGGAATCCGTTGGCGGCAGAGGATGTTTCACTCCTGGAGACGCTTGGAAGAGTGTGACAGTGTTTGGATTGGCAGCTGGTTATTGGAGATTGGAGGCGTTGTCGGGCGCCGCTTCAGGTTGCCCCTGCCCTCTATGTCGCCGCGTTGCCGCCGGCGGGCGCATCTAGCCTCGCACCTAGCGCACTCGCTGGAACCCTGGAAACTGGGTCAAACTGTCAAAACGTGACGCCCTGGCAGCCCTGGCCGCCCTGGCCCACCCTCCTCCCGCCACCTGCCTGCCTATCAGTACGGAAATAATTCCATTTTATAGCCTTCGCTATACACTTCCAGTGAGAGCGTCGCGAATATTGGTGTCCGCACACTTTGCCGCACCTTTGCTGCTGGCCGGCCGAGCGCACTAGCCCGGCTATCTCCGAAGACAGGATCCGTGGTTCGACACCCGCCCAGTCGTCGCGTATTTTATTGACTGGCCGAAATGGGGGGTGGTAGATCGTCAATAAACCTCCACCTACTGCATAAAACTTGAATGAAAATTTTATGTCAATTTTTGGACATTGACACTACGCAACAAAGTTTCCTTGCCGACATGCGGAGGACGGCCCGACCGGTCGCTCTGTCTCTCTCGCACCCCCGCGGCCTTGCGGCTTCGTAGAGGCCCATGAGTGCGACAGAGACAGCGCGACGGAACGGGAACGACCCTCCCGAATCGCTTGGCGCCGCCATTATCCCATTAATAACCCGCGAGATAGTTATGTATGTTTTAGCGCCAACACTGGAAAATAGTTGACTGCCCGGAGGGCCCGACGGCCTCGCCGACGGCGGTGCGGTTGGGTTATCAGGACGCGTTCGGATTGACCGCGGTTCGAACACTGCGTCCGCTCCATATTTCTCTGGCCTTGTCATTTTTCCGGTGCGGTAGTTAAAACGTCGTGTAACCCATTTGGACGGGGGGCAGTAAACAAGCCGGAAAGGTGGGGGTATTTTGTGGGGGTGGGAGACTGGGGGGAGGGGGAGTTGTAGCCCGAGTCCTGCCATCAATCTTGTGACTATGCCCCAGCGTGGTGTCTGCGCCCCGCGAGTCCCATCCCTGCCCGTCCCTGCCCCACCTACCCCCACTTCGCATCCCTGCATACATACCCCCACCCATCATACTCACCCCCACCCCCTGCACCCTTTGGCACTCTGGCTTTGCGCGGGGAGGCGATCCTCCGGGGAGACAAGTTATATTTCAGAAACTCGCGTCGAACCTGTCAATAGCAGAGGCTAGGCGATCGCGGAAAGGCGCTGCACGAGTGAGTGTCTGTGTGTGTATGTGTGCGCGTGTGTGTTTGTACGTGTGCGTATATGTGCACGGGCCATTCCAGTTGAAGTATAACTTGGAAAGTGATTTATTCATTTATCGGTCCAATCACTCTGCACGGCCGCAACCGCTAGTTTAAAATTGAAACCACACTGTTTTCGCGTCATACGCGCAGACGTAGATTGGACTGGCGGTTTGAGGGTGGAGCCCGCGGACCGCCGTGGTTGGTCCGGGAGAGCCCGCGACACTGTCGGCGTGCCTCTGGGTAGGCAACTCATCGTTCAGCGAAGCGGCACAAAAAAAGGGGGAAAAAATCCACTCGACTTCTCTATTTGCATCCGGCGACATTGAGACATGTCTACAAGTCTCGCCCTTGTGCGGAGACGCGGGTTCAAGTCCCACCGCCCGCACTTTTTCCCCCAGCGGCATTTGACCGGGGAGGAGGGGGTGGGGGTCACGTGACTGTAAACGACGTCATTGTGGCGGTGACGTTTTTCGCAAAACGGACACTCCAATGGCAACGCTTTCGCCGACATCGCGTTGCCATGGCGACACGGACCCTAATCAACGCCCTCCCCCCCTCCTTACCCCCTTCCCTGCTTTCTCTATTTTTCTCCCCATCCGCGTCGTTTCGAGCGCTAGATAAAAACTTTTAATAGACCTCTCATTACTGCACCAGTCCTTCCCTCCCGACGATGCTGTTGATGCATAGTAATTTTAACAAGTTTGCGTGCATGGTTTGCTGGACGAGGGAAATAATGAAGAGAACATAAACATTCAGTCCATCGGAAAGGGAAGGGATTGTTGTTGTTGTTGTTGCCGCAGCTTGGCCACAGTAGTGCTTTAGTCAAATAACGACCTTCACTCCAACTTTACGCTGTTAGTCACGCGTAATGACCAACCAGCAACTCCTGTCCTTGAAAGCAACGCGTGGACGGCGTGGACCGATGCCTCCAAGAAAAATTCGGCCCCAGTGGAGTGCCATACCCAGTCAGCTGGCTGTGGGTCAATGGATTTGAAGCGACTGAGGCATTCCGTTGGACGACGTCGGGGTCGGTGTATCTTGTGGAGGAGTCTCGAGGTGAGACTTAATAACTTGGGACCCCTGCGTCGCGCCGTGCCGTGCCGTGCCGTACCGTGCGCCGGGCCGTGGTGAGCCGCAGAGGTGAGGAGGATGAGGAGGGCCCACATAGAATCATCATCTCCTTGCCCAGCATCCATTCGAGCCGGGCTAAGCCGAGCCGGAGCGAGCCGAGCCGGGGCAGCGCCGCGGTTCATCCAGACAGGTACCGGCAGATAGCCTGCAGGCCCTGCAGGCCCTGCAGGTACCGAAAGGGTTCTGGATGGCCAGTGATGCCAGGCGTGGCTGCGAGCTCCAGGGTCCGCCGCTACATCCTCCGGTTCCGGCTCGCTCCGGCCGGCTCGGCTGCGCTCGGCGCGCTGCGCTCGTCACGGCGGCCCGGCTCGGCTCGGCGGGGCTCGGCTGCGCTCGGCCCGCTCGGCTCGGCAACAACACCACGGCCGTGCTGGCCGTCCCGGCGTGCCTCTGCCTCACCGCCCAGCCCCACCCACCCACCGCGAGCCCCTCCGCTCCGCTCCGCGCGCCGCGCCGCTCCCGCAGCGGAGCCGAGCGACCGAGCCGCGCCAGCCCCCACCCCTCCCCCTGCCCACCCCCACCGCCGCCAGCGTGCCGTGGCGAGCCAGCGGAGTAGCAAGCATTCAGAGTTGGGTTCAGCCTCAGCCAGTCGATGGTCGGAGGAGAGGAGGTTAGGTACTCGCGTGCGTTTGGGGTGGAAGCGCGCCGCTCAGTCAGACAGGCAGCCGCAGAGTGACTGAAAGTGCATCGCGCCAGTCAAGTCCGTGTCAAGTCTCAGTCCGGCGTGGTGCGAGTCAAGCCAGTCAAGTCCTTCTAGTCATCCAAGTCTTGCCGCCGCCGCCGCCACCGCGCCGCCGCAGCTGCAGCCCGCAGCAGTCATTGTCCCCTCTCTTCCTCTTCCTCCTCCTCCTCGCCCTCCTCCTCCTCCGACTGCGGCTCCTCAACACCTGCCAGTGCCAAAGGGATTACGAAGTGCCGCCGCAGTGTGCCACAGTGTGCCACCGGGATACCGCGAGTGTGCAAGGGTGTCGTGTCAAGCGGCCGGCAGTGCTAGTGCTTCGCTAGTGCAACGCCAGTGCAACGCCACTGCATCGGATTCTGTATTGTCTGGATTGCATTCCAGCTCGGATCACACAGGTAAGCAAGACAACGACCCCTCCCCCCCCTCCTGGCGGCCTCTGGCACGGCCTCTGGCGGCATGCAGGCCTTCATCTGGGCCTTGATCGAGTCCGTCATCTTGTCTCCCTTGAGGCGCGCGCGCCGACAGTCTGTCTCTCTCGCACTCGTGGAACGTCTCGCCTCGGTGCGAGAGAGACAGAGCGACGGTCTGCAGGACCGCCGCTGCGTTCGGCCCTCTTTGTGCGTCGGCCAAATTTGGTGGGCGGCTGTTGAAGTTTGTCCCCCACTCCCTTTTCCTTGAGTAGGCGTGCCCGCGGCCAGGTACGCGCTGTGCAGTGGGCCAGAAGACCGGTGGGGGCGGCCAAAATTCGAGACGCGTTTTGAGCTGCAGAGTCGCTAAATGGGACTCGAACTGAACGTGTGACACCACCAATGGATCCCTCGTTCAAAGAGCAATCCATTGGTGGGGTCACACGTTCGGTTTAGTCTCATTAAGCGACTCTGGAGCTCAAAACGCGTCTCGAAGTTAGGCCGCCTCCACCGGTCTTCTGGCCCACTGTGCTGCGCGCTGGTCACGATGACTGGAGGCCTGCCCTAGGCCTGCCTGGAGGGCGGCGGCGGAGATGAAGAGAAGACAGCATCCCGTCTGTCTGCATCGCCTTAGACTAGGATCATCCCGCGCGGCCGGACCTCCTGGACCAGTCGGACTCCGAGGGCCTTTAGGGCCGACGCGGCACTCACACACTGCAGGGCGGCACTCACACACTGCAGGGGCCTCGGCCAGAGCGGATGAAATCCACCTCGACACGCTAACGCGTTCAACGAAAAAAATAAGTTGAAAACGTAATCTTTGAAAAATAAAATAAAAGTTCCGAGTGAACTGGCAGTGTGTCCGTGGGAATAAAAATTTTGGACGATTGTGAAGGTTGCCGACAAAGTGCGGAAACGATAAGGTGGGCAGTATTCGAATCTCCCGGAACTCCGGCTGTTCGGCGACCCCCCTAATAAAAACTCGCCGTGTGTGAGATTCGAACCGCGGCCCCGCCCCCTTTTCTACCGGGCGGGGTCACGGCGTCTCACGCCCCTTCCGACTGCGCCACCGAGGCGTCAGCGACCGTCTCGGAACTCCGTGGTGCACTTGACGGACGGGTTGACACGTTTGGGAAACATCCTCGCACGCCGTGGCGCCGTGGCACGCGGCGCGACGCGGCGCCGACAACCTGGGAAATTGAGGCGTAGAGGGGCCTCGCGTGACGTCGGGGTCCTGCTCTAATTTCGAGTGTGTGTGTGTGTGTGTGTGTGTGACCGTGTGAGTGAGCTATTAGTATGCGTCCGCACGTCTAGCTCCGCAAGGATAGCATAGCCGGCGCTCCGCACTGCAAGGGAAAGCGAGATAATGTTAAAAAAATAAAATAAACAAAAGACACACACCCACACGAAAAAAAAAAAAACAGCATACGCGTTTACTTGGAGTTCATTACAGCGGTGCGGTAAATTCTGTATAATGACTCGGAGGTGGGATCAATTAAACGAGGGGGATAGATTAAGAGGGGTGGGGGCGGGGAGGGGTTGCGAGAGAGAGGTAAGATGTAAGCTGACCGGAGTGCCCCGCCAGCCCTGCGGACGCCCTGCGGACGTGCGTCTCGGTTTTCAAATCGGCCTAACCCTTATCCCTTCCTGACCGTGCTGCCTGGCTGCCTGGCTGGCCGCCTGGCCGGGTGGCCGGCCCGCCGACAGCCAGCCCAGCCAGCCCAGCAGCCAGCCCCCTGACTCATTAGTCAACCGGACACGAAGTCAACTCGAAGAAGTCGAGAAACGCGACGCGAGAATCTGATCGACTTTGTCCGCGCGACGGGGCGAGGAGGGCGGAGGGCGCGACGTCTGTCTGTCCGTCTCTGTCGCACGGTGCCACACTCGTAAAAGGCTGGTCTTTGTGCAACGAACGCAGCCCACCGAGTCCGAGAGTCGTCTTTCGTCGCGCTGTCTCTCACGCACCCACGGCGCGTCCCGAAAAGGTGCGAGAGAGAGAGAGCGACGAAAGCGACTCTCGGTCTATGCAGTGCCGGGAGCAGGATTGTGTGTTGAACGCGTTGCGCAAGCCCTTCCCCTTCTTCCCACAGGACGCCGCCTCGCTCTCTCTCCCTCTCTCTCGCGCGCACGTCGGGGTGCGAGAGAGACCGCGCCACGCGTAGCGACGCGGCCTGCAGCAGGACCGGCAGGACCTCCAGGAGGAGGGGAGACGCTCCCAGTCGCGGCCGCGGAGCCGCGGTCCGCTAGGCCACGCGCGAGTAGTTCGGCCAGGGCGGCCCTCTCTGCTCTCTCTCTCTCTCTCTCTCTCTCTCTCTCTCTCTCTCTCTCTCTCTCTCTCTCTCTCTCTCTCTCTCCCCCTCTCTCGCTCGCTGGCTCTCGCTGCATTGCACTCCGTGACCCAATAAAGTTGGGACTATGAAAGAGGGGCTTGCAAGGGCCCGCCCTGGGCCCGCCGTGGCCCGGGCCGCGCCGCCGCGCCGCCGCGCCGCCATCGCCGGCCGGACTAAGCCGTTCGGTAAAAAGGGGCGCGCTGCCAAACTTTGGCAAGGAAAACAAAACTTTTGGCGGAGGTAAAACGGGTGGAAGCGGGCGCGGGGCGCGCGGGGCCGATCACGGGGAGAAGGCGGGATAAAGAAGAAAGTAAACAAGAGTGTGTGCCGCGCCGCCGTGCTCGGCGCAGTGCTGAGCTGGCTGCATTTCTAATGCCTGCCCGGCCTGCCCGCTGCGGGCCAGAAGTCCGGTGGAGGCGGCCGAAACTCTAGACGCGTTTTGAGCTCCAGAGTCGCTAAACAGGACTAGAACCAAACGTGTGACCCCACCAATGGATTCCTCGTTCGGAGAGCAATCCGTTGGTGGGGTTGCACGTTCGGTTCGAGTTCCATTCTGCGACCCTGCAGCTAGCTCTAAACGCGACCGGAATGTTGGCCGCCTCCACCACAGGGCATCCACCGGTCTTCTGGCAAATCCACTGTACTGCCCACCAAGAGGCCCTTGGCGGTGGCCGTCCGGTCGTTGGATGGCAACCCTACACGCGGCGCCGCCAAACACTGCGTTCTGCCAATAGCGAGCCGCGCTGCCGATAACAGTCCACCAGGCTAGGCCGGGCGGCAACCCTACACACTGGCCGCTGCTGCTTGCCCAGTGGCAACTCCACGCGGATTTCCGGCTTTCATTGGGGCGGCGCTGGGCGGCGGAGGGTGGTATAGGGTTGCCAGCCGCACCTCGTTGGGGAGCCAGGCCCGCCAGGCTTCCGGCCTGTTCAAATCTTAATGCGGGCCGTCCGCGAACCACGTAACACCACAGAGAGATTCCATTTCGGGCTTTCCTCGCGAGCGGTGGTTGCCATGTGACACAGACAGGACTGGAATCTTTTCGGGCTGCAAATCGCATTGCTGAAATTCATCGTCTTGCATCGCTCAACTGGATAATGGGTCGTTCAATTTATTGGCTTCGAAGTTGGTATTCCCTGCATGGCGCGGCCCTTGTGCACTACTGCGTGTGTAGGTAAACGCCACCTCTGTTTACGCCGGCCAGTTCGCCGCCATATTTTTAGACCGCAGTTAATGCACACGTGTGTGTGTGTCTCTCTCTCTCTCTCTGTGTGTGTGTGTGTGTGTGTGTGTGTGTGTGTTTTACCGAGTTGCCGCCGTGACCGTCTTGTTGACGGCGGATTCAAAGACCCGCACCGCCACGCCCCCAAAGCCTGATTTGTGGCGCCGCCGATACATCATGGAGCATTATTCGCAGAAAAGTCGGGATTGAGGTAAACACGGCAGCCTGCATTATTTATGCTAATGTCTGTGCGGCTATTGCCCCGATGCGACGCACAGTGGGCCAGAGGACCGGTGCAGGCGGTCGAAATCCCGCACGCGTTTGGAGCTCCAGAGTCGCTAAATGGGACTCGAACTGAAAGTGGTGACCCCACCGATGGATTCTCTCCAACGAGGAATCCATTTGTGGGGTCACACGTTTGATTCGAGTCCCATTTAGTGACGCTGGCGCTCAAAACGCGTCTAGAGTTTCGGCCGCCTCCACCGGTCTTCCGGCAAATCCACTGTGGGCTGCCCTTTGCTTTTCTGTCTCGCAATTTTGCAGCGACATTGGCCGGCCCTCTGTTTACCGCCAGCCAATCGCAGTGCAGCGACAAGCGGGCTCCCTTGCATTTGCCAGCGTCTCGGGATTAGTTTGCGCGACTTTATTTAATTTGTCCCAAAGAAGGGGGCGGCGCCGAGCCGCGTTCGAGCGCCACGCGAATTCCACTACACCAGCAGTGCTCTGAATATTTATGGTGTAGTGCAAATGCCAAACGAAAATTGATTCACCGTCGCGACGCCCCCGCCCTAAAAAAGGGGGCGGCGTCGCATTGTTTTCATGAGCGCGGGCGGCTTGTGTGACAGTTTGTGTTTGTGAGACTGGAACAACAAAAAACGTCCCCTTTTTCGCGGCGACGCGGGAGCAGCGGAGCGAATTTGTTGGCGGCTATATTTAAAATCGGGAGCGAGAATCACAAGCAGCAGTGTATACGATGCCCGGCCTGGGTCAACACATAACCGAATACAAGTGTGTATTTTGGTCGCGAGCGCGCCAGCGGGTCCCTTCGGGCCGCCTGAAGCTCGCCGGGCAGCGAGGGGGCGTCCTTGGTGACCTCTTGGCAGCCCGCCGTCTGTCTCTCTCGCACTCATGGGGCGTGTCGAGGAGGTGCGAGAGAGAACCACCTGCACAAAATGGGAACACATCCGGGCAATTTCGCATTCCGCACTCAAAATGTTGTACAGTGAAGATTCCATATTATGGTGAAAATGTTCCATATTATGGTGGTGCAGCTGACTTCATAACATACCATTGAGAATTCACTGAACGTTATGGATATTTTGACGAATTTCGTTGGTAGGAGAAAATCTCCACCATAATATGTCGGTGCACCGTAAGACATTTACAGTGCGGCGTTAAAAATGCCTGTAAGTAGGGGAAATGTGTTGCGAATAAGG